CAATTTTGTTTTCTATTTTTCCTTATTGCTCGAGAAGTATTTCAGATTTTGGCATAAAACTCGGTATACGAGGGATGTCTTTCAAGTTTTGCATATGGAAATAAAACAACACGGTAGGTAGTTTTAAATGACTTTATTGTCTTTCGAAGTATTCTCCAAGAAGATTAATACCTATCTGCATGCGCTCGAACCGATTTTCGAAGCACTTATTTCACTCGTTTGCAGGCAGATCCAAAACGGCATTTTTGAATGCGTCAACTGCTTCTTCTGGTGACTTGAACCTTTGACCACGCAGTCTGTTTTTAGTTTTCGGGAAAGTAAAGAAATCGTTAGGACTTAGATCGGGACTATATGAAGGATGGTCCAATAATTCTACGTTTTCTTCCGTTAAATACTGCCTTGTTTTTTGGGCTGTGTGCGAGCTTGCATTGTCTTGGTGGAGGATGATTACTCTTTCGGGGTTGATTTTTTGAAGCTCGGTGATGACTTTTGGCAAACAAATGGTGGTATACCAATCCACAGTAACAGTTGTTTGCTCATTAAGAGGAATTGTTGCAATATGACCCACTTTTTACACAAATGTCGCGACCACCTTTTTCGAAACACTTCGAGAACACCCAAATAGCCAACTGTCGTTTATTTTCTGGTTCATAACAGTAAATCCACGATTCATAACCACTAACAATGCTGTACACATTTTTTGTTTCCGGAATTGAAACGGTCAAGCGTTTTTTGACGCCAATTAACCCTGGCTGCTTTCTGCTCTTCAGTCAATAGGTGGGGAATCCAACGAGAAACTAATTTTCTTACTCCTAATTCTTCACGTAAATTTTTTTGAATTGAGGTCTTTGAGATCTTCAAGGACGCCTCAATCTCTCGATATGTCACATGTCTATCTTCAATGATGAGTCTGCGCACAGCATCGACGTTTTCCTGGGTGACTGCCGTTTTTGGTGCACCCACCCTGGGATCGTCGCTAAGACTTACCCGTCCACGTTTGAATTCTCCATATCAACGGGAAATTGTCGACTGATGTGGCGCTTCGTTGCCGAAAACAGACAGTAACTCAGCAAGGCATTCTTGTTGCGATAATTGTCTCTGAAAGTTGTAAAATGTTCTCGGTTGAGATCCATTTTTCTAATGACTTGGTGACACTTAAAAATTCACTGTAGTGAGAACACTGCACGTATCGTTGTGAAACTTTGAATTTAAGTTTACTAAAGAGTGAGGTTAAGATTTAGTACTGTCGTTCCATCCGCGCGGCCTACTATGTTTCTATATGCAAAACTTAAAAGACATCCCTCGTAGGGAGGTTTTCTAATATGAAGAACAAGAATTTGTTATTTTTTTTGGCCAAACTATTTTGGTAAATAACTTATAACTATTTGGTGCTACCCTGGATATAACAACTGACTGAAAAATCTTATTTTCTCGTATTTCCACAATAAAAAAGGTTTTACTTGCTAGAAGTGCCTAAAGCTAATAGTTTTCGAGATATTTGTTGTTAAAACATTAAATCTTGCCAATCTGTACATTAATTGCATATCAGGATATTCATCAAACGTATGCTCCATGATGTTTAACAACTTATTGTTAGCTTAAAGCAATATCATGACAAACATTAGAAACCATAGCAACGCCACTCAGATATTATCCAAAGCAACTTGATTATTATGTTATGAAAATGTTTTATCATCATGGTACAAATAATACATTGGAACGTTTAAAAACACATATCTCGAAAACTATTAGCTTTAGAGACTTCTAACAAGTAAAACCTTTTTTGTTGTGGAAATACGAGAAAATAAGTTGCTGTATACAGGATAGCACAAAAAAATTATGATAAGTTATTTACCGATATAGTGCTGTAAGTGGTGCCCTCTAGCCTTATACTAGAAAACCTCCCTATACCGAGTTTTATGCCAAAATCTGAAATACTTCTCAAGCAATAAGGAAAAACAGAAAATAAAATTGTAAGGTCATTTTGGTCTGTAGTATCTCCAGTTTCGAGATTTCCCAACCTTTCGCAGACATCCTGTATAACAGTAACTTAGATTTTACGATATGGGACCATCCAATGCGTTTTCGGTTCGCCCAAATGGCATGAAAGTCGTTTGACCAAAGATGAGAATTTTCATAATATTTTTAGTGAAGCTCATTTTCTTCGATGTCAATGCATCAGCTTGCATTCCGAGATTTTAGAGTCCAAAGTCGTCAAGAAGCCAATGCATTCACGAGTGACTGTCGGGTGCGGATCGTGGTCCGGGGACATCATTTGGCCACTTTTCTTCTAAAACGAATAAGAAGCTGCTGTTTCAGAGCGAGCGTTTCAGTGTTATGCTTAACGAATGAATTCAGATTAGGTAGGAGCCGGTCAAGGGTTTCTCTCATAATTGCTATAGTCTGTAGTGAGGATCAAAGTGCATACTATACCCCATTCGTAGTCCAGTTACGGCCAGACAAAACACAACATGCCCAAAAGCGCAATGGTCTTGGAATAATCTACCAAAAATAAATGATCATTTTTATAGAAAGAAGTGCACATACTTTTCACAATTCTTTATTCGCTGGAAGTACTTGAATCATCGTCCGAATGGTTAATATTACCTCGATAGCACGAAATATTCATTAAATTTTTATTCAATATTTAATAATATTTTTATCTTACTTAAATATTTTAGTATTTAATAAATATTTGGAAAAATATATGTTTATTAAATATTTATTCAATATCTTTTAAATACAATATTTCTTTTATAATATTCATCAAACATTTAGTTTTCAATCAATGGAAAATATTAAAACTCCATTATTTATAAAATATTCTTTAAATATTTTCGGCTACGGCGCATGTGCATGTGACCCCGAGGGATCAATGGTAAGCTGACCTGAGCCGACCCGTTTGCTGGCATCCATTTTGCCTGTGAGTTTCACTATATTATAGCGTGCTTTCTGTGTTCCTCCAAGTGCTACATTATTTGAGTGTTTTGTTGTGGAAAAGAATAAGTTTTATTTATAATTTATTTGACTAGTGAACAATATTGTGCCGGTTGAGTATAAAGGTATTTACAAGACCATAAATAACTAGCCTTGAAGTGTATCAGTTATTTGTGATTTGTGATTGGTGGATTTATCTGAAAATGGATACGAAAATTATATTCATAACATCCCAATGAAAAGTCATATAATCACAACTTGATTGCGATATATCAAAAATGCTTTTTTAATATCTCGATTATCATTATTATTTTTGTCGTAGTAGGGGGCAAATCAGCTATAACTATTTTCAAATTTTTAAGTTCAACAGCGACGTTCCAAAATTTTAAAAGTCGAAAATACTATATTTTTGTCCCTTGAATTATAATACAAAGTCACAAAATAGTTATGGATAAATTAGCCCCCTTACTTAAGGATCAAGTTGTGCCAATGGACATTTTTCATCGAGATATCTAAAATAGCATACTAAATTTTCTTAAAAATTAACCAAATCCCGAACTCTCGTAAAGAAAATGTAGGGTCCTTTTAGGTGTATTATAGAGCTGCTTTTCAGTGACCCAGTTGAGTACTTCGGGAGAATATCTCTCTCAAACAAAAGACCACTGGAAAGCAGCTTATGTATTCAATAATACTATATAATTAGTAATTTGTGTTTTGTTCAGATAAGTGAATTTGCAAGATGCAGAAGAGGCTTAGAATGTTTTTTAATGATATTTTTCTAGCAAATTAAAGCATTATATCTAGAATACATTTTCTTTATAAAACCAATTTTATAAAAGCATACCCGAACTACAGATTTTGCTAAAATAACCAATGAAGAATTTTGTTGCTTCATATACATAAATACATATTTTCGAAAAATGTTATATATTTCATCAAAATATAAAATTGATATTTAATAAGTCTTTCCTCAAGTATTTTCTAAATATTTCGAAAAAAAATATAGCAAAAATATGTCGGATCCTACTTCCTGCACTTGTTCCTGGCTTTATGATCGAATGACCAATAGCTATTGCAACGCTCAGGCGGCTGCCGTTTTGCATCTTTGTTGTGCCGGGGCATAAATGGACTACGAAAGGGTATACACTACAAGTACACTTGACACATAATTTGCAAAGGACAAAAGCCCAATGAAGGTAGATGTGTCCACATGTAAGTATTATTATGTTGATACAAGTCTGTCTCTTTGGTAGGCAATGGTTGTCAAATGAGTCAAAAGTATGCACTAAAACTACGCAATTTTGGCCACAAACAATGCAAACATGGGCTAGACTCCTTCTAATCTATTCCAATTCATTGTGCTCCACGACTTGGAATAGAAAACCAAATAATCCGCAGACATTTTGATGTCAATTAGCTGCGATTTGAACGCGCAGTACTGTTTTATGTGGGAAGTCGTTCACAATGAATGTTATGCTAAACATCCAGAGACAATTTAGACCTTGGAACATGAAATCGGAGTTGCCATTCAACAATCGAAAAAGTACTTGAAAATTGGGTTAATGACAGCGATGTTTAATTTTGCTCCCGTTATGCGACCCTAGTGTGGTTGGAGATCAAACTGGAAAACGAAAGATTTGATAGAAAGGTAGCTTATTTTTCACGATGCTTAATCATCTTTTGATGTGACCAGCTGATCAACGATTGATGTTTATAACCTTAGACATGACCCGAGCCACTAGCACTATCAACTTCTAGGTGTTCAGATTACCTCCCATTGGCCAGCTGTGGTCATTTGAATGATACTGACATTTTTTAATATAAAGGTCAAGCCATTCCAATGGAACCAGAAATTGAGAAATGTTCATTAGTTTCCTTTTATAGATAGATATAGAAACAAACCAACTATACCAATGTCTGGACGGCGGCTTTGTGCTTTGCCTAACAGTAAAACTGAATGAACAACACCCGACGAATTCATCAAAAGATTCCCACGTTTGGTGGTAATTTATTATTGTAGAAGATGTTAGAGGAAAGGGCAGTAACAAAATAAAACATTAACTGCAATATATTTGTTTATTTTCTGGAGAAATGATAGCATACAATTGATAATTATCAAACCACACCGTTAAGTATAATTAAAAACAGTAAACTTTATATCACATTTGATAAAAAAATCATTTTATATTTAACAATAATAAAAAACGGAATAAATAAATGCCTTACATCAAAACAAACAGTCCTATATTACAATAAGTATATATATATACAGAATAATGAACACATTATTTCAATCTCCAGCATTTTTTTCAAAATCAGAACGAACAGTTGTGGATTTTTTAAATATTATATATTTATTATAACTTGAGGAATAACTGTATATGTATTCGACTTTAATATATTTTTACACTTAATAAAAATAATAAGTCCTTAATCAACATGCTAAAACTCGTTGAAATAACATTCATTTTTTTTGTAAATCTCATGATGTAAGATTTTGAAAGAATAACATTACCTGTCTGTAACCAGTTATTTTTCTATTTATCTCAAGAAAGATGTCTTATAACGTCCAACATTCAAAAAGCTTATTATCTTTATTCATTATGGTATAGGTACGAATTTCACAAGAATATATTGAAACAATTTTCGTCAAATGGTAAATTTACCAATGAAATATGTCCAAAACTGTCTTTCTAATTGAGGAAAATTAAGAATACAAGTCTTTCGAAGCACCTTTTCCTTCTAAGAAAAGCGAGATCGTGTTTTGACAGAATAGTAGTTTACCACTGAGCTGTATAATTTGGCACAACCTTTATATTTATCGTTAAATGGACCGAATTTTATAAATATGTCTATTTCTACTGCATTCTGTCAAAATATTCGGTGTTTTACTGTTTTGTATGTTCTCCGCAGCTACATTTTTTCTTCGCGGGAATAATACACCTAAAAGTATCGCACAGCATTCCACAGATGTAGTCTTGGAAGGTTTTTGTTGGGGGCAAAAATAACCATCGCTCCGGAAATCACCTAACATCCGAATCTGCACCTGGAATATTAAAAATCTTGTTTCATTCCTAGAAGTAGTACTAGTGGTAGAAGGAAAAAGCCTGGCAAGCGGGCCACTTCTGGTCTAGAAGACTTCTTTTGGTATTTGTCAAGCTATCTTGACCTCTCAATGAAGGCTAGAATGCCAAGCAATCAGCTGATTATACTTATTGATTGAAGTAGAACGACGTTTCTCCTTCCCGCACGTGGACCAAAGAATTCGGACTAGGTAGAACGTGCAAGCCGACGATTTGATTGTCCACAAAATCTCAGTCTGTAGTCAGGATGAAATGCACACTGCAAGTGGACTTGACATGAGTTATTTTTCTGACAGTTCTGTCATTAAATTCGTATTTTTAGAGTTATTTTTTGAAAATGCGAGTGTTTGTAAATAATTGTGGTGTTAAGACGATTTTAGGTCATGATACTTCTTGCAAAGTGTGGCAGATCTTTCAACGGGTAAGTATTATCATTATTATTATTATTATGTTGATATAGCACTGTCATTTTGGTAGGCAATGGTAGTCAAATGAGTCATAAGTTTGCACTAAAGCTACGCAATTCTGGCGACAAAAAATGCAATGTAAACGTATAGGATTGGCTCCTTCTTATCTATTCGAAAGTCCAGGGTTTCTAAAAATTAAGACACATTTAAATGTCCATGAGCTACCTAATATCTCCCATAAACGTTATTAACAGCAGTCAAGCAATTACTGATCTAGAATCAGTGAGCCCGAAGCACAACATTTGTATGGAGCCCCTCTCTAGTTTGAAAACGTCCGGGACGTCATCACTTTGGTGGCATTAATTTTATCTACCCTGGGCCCCATAAACCAAGTTCTGCCAGTACTCAACGCACGGTGTATCGTGGGTGTTAATTATTAGGAATAAGTTTCTACCAATGTTGATCTGACGTCAATGTTTGATGTCAAAAGGAAAACTCGTAGTTTCATAAATAACACAGACTAATAGGTATAATAGGAACACTATATTGAATCGGTTACCTAAGTAATACCAATTCATAGATATAAAAGACACATTGTGGGTATGGGCATGGAGTTAAAAAACGTTTGGGTTTTTGTAAATTTTACGTTTTTTAATACTTGCCTCTATGTCATCATATTTTCCTCGTATAATGAATGTATTATCTGGGAAATCGTCTTTTTGTGCTAGCGGATATTTTTGTTTATACTCCAGCTACCACGAAGGGCTAAGGCCTAAACACTCATGGGGCTATAGGGGGATACAGGGGAAAGGGAGGGGGGACGCCACACGGACTCTAGCGAGGGAACATGTGTGCATGCTGCATGCACACATTCTGGACCCGCTAGGTGGTACCTCCGCGTATGACAGTCACAGACCGTCTACCATCTACGGACAATCACAACATTCACAGCCAAGAGAAAATGTTCTCTTGGACGGGATTCGAACCCGCACAGCGCACTGCGACTGATCAGGAGACCGAGCGTCTACCACTGCGGCCACCGGTGCTGTAATATACCTTCTTTGTAACTAACCTTACATTTTCGACAATAGCCAACTGTTTCGTTTTCTTTTTTACAAGATAACAGTCCACGTACATCTTGCACAGTTAGGAAAAATATTAGGAAGCTAATGAAATAAATATTCAACCGATTATCGAAACTTTCGCAATAACGACTTCTCGTCCACCATCCGAAGTATGGCACTGATGAGATCGAACAAATAAATTCAAGTAATCTAAAGAATGAAACCTTTATACCAAGAAGATGTAAATGAAATATTTGTTACTTACCATTTGAAAATTCTTCTGGCTTGCAAATTTGATAGGTGATAAAATACTCCGGATATGCCTGTTCTCCTCTGTATACCACGTACTCGGGGAAATACAAACCACCAACTGAAGGCCTTCCAGCGACGCTGTGATGGCCAGGAGGAGCATGCGCCATTTTCATTGCGCTAAATTGCAAAAATGACTTTCCTAGAGTCACTCTGCATAATAGTAGATGCCTAAAAATGGAAAGGAGCAATCAAAATCCCGTTAAACCAGTTACAGATCTATCAATAAGGCGCAATTTTATTTAAGTGTCAAAAGACCAGCATCAAGTATATTTACGTTACTGAGCCTGAAGTCGAAGAGCGTGCAATATGAGAGGAGACTAATCGCATTACCTGTAAACTTGATACTATGAACGAACAGTGACATCAATAGGCGTTAAAGGATCTCAACATAAAAGTGCGAGAATAGATAGACGTACAGGAAAATACTCATGTATTTTAAACTAAGGACAAAATGAAAACAGTGGTCTCGGTACCACAACTTGATGAGCAGCTTTATTTTGTACTTTTTGTACATCAACGCACAGTACATTGTCAAATATATTATTATTACCATTATATGATATACGGTACGGTATGGTTTCGCCGTATTTTAGATTTCACAGCGTCATAGCTTCGAGCGACAATGTTGGTTTGCGTCAATTTTGACAGTAAAATGTCATATATTTGACTACGTATAGATTATACAACCTTATTCAACACTCCGATGAAAATAATTTCTAGGTGTAATTTTATTAAAGCGCCAGATCGAGATTATGATAGAAGTCTGGTCAGATGATAGATTGAAGGAAGGGTTGCTATAAATCCCATTTCTTTGATTTCATTTTCATGATGAACCCTTGGTCGAGTATACCTGTAGCAACAAGTATGTATAACACATACCCATGAGAATAGACACGTTCATGGGAAACATCTGTTCGGCTTCTTAGGCCCGTATCGTCAGTCGTCCCTACAATTGTGGGGGGCCTTTATGGCCTCCTTGATTGTCATAGTTTTCTACTTCTCCGGGTCAGCACTCTATTTTGAGGTTATGTCACAAACATCTATTTGCATCAAATTGTGCTTGCTTTTGAGTTATATCATGTTTTATCAGCCTGAAATTTCCTACAATTTAAAAAGAAAACGTATCTTCACAATAGGAGAGCGCTGACGCTGACACGGGACAAGTGTAATATAGAAATTTTTGAAGGAGAGAAAGGAGTATGACAATCAAGGAGGCCATAAACGCGCCCTACAATTGTGAGGACGACTGACGATACGGGCCTTAGTCACGGACAGAACAAATGCAGTTTTCGGTGAAGTCTTAGAAGTTGATGTTCAGTTTCGTTTCTGGTTTTATTGTGTTCCAATACACATCGCATGTGTCTTATATATCATGATATTTTCATTGCCATCATATTACAAGGGTATCAGTACGTTCTGATTTTTCCATTTACAACACAAATATCACACTTTTTGAAAACTGTAGACTGCAACCGTGTTTACAATCGTCAATGCTGGCAGCCCTGTTGACAAGCGTCAATGCTGGTTTGTGTTCAACTTTGATAACGTGACCTCCCTTGACGCTCGATGCTGTCATGAAAACGCCAAAACTATAATGTTCTGACAAAAACATTTAAAAAGAACTACTCGCGTAGTTATACTACCTGTGACACGTATAGCAACTCCTATCTTTATGCGTAGGACACCCGGTACCACCTCCGATACCATACACGTACTGGTTGCTTTTGCTAGAATGCTCGGCAAAGTAGATCCCTGCACCGAACATGCCGCCGATGTACGCGTGTCTCTCGTCGAATCCTTTCTGAACGATAGCGTTGATGAACGGAGAACCGTGGAACAGCATGCGTTCGCAAGCTTGATTATTGTTGTCTTCGGCCACTTCGCGGCGTCTGTGCACATAACGTTCCCATAGCTTGCGGTTCTGCACTTTCTGGATCTAGGGGGTATTAAAAATTTTTAGATATGGAATATAAAGGAAGCTATATTCTATTTTTAACTTTATCGGTATGTTGTTACCGCAATGTATGTTAGGACTAGAATGGCTACACACAAATATCATAGACATAGACCAAAGACAAAGCTCTGACATGACTTCAATAATTATGTATGCGCCTAATGACAGTACAACGCTAAGCTGCTGAACGATTTTTGACAGATGAAGTTATACACGTCCATCTTATGTGTTGATGCCATTGCTACGGGTTTTATAAAAAAACGATGCAAAAACGCTTGCAGCATACTCCACTGAAACCGGGTTAGACATACAATGATTGTAGAATATTCAAGGTGACATAAAAATTTGATGACTTTCAAATGGAACCTTACGCGGTAACTAGCATCAACCAAGGCAACTTATTACGTGTTCCTTAATATCATATCACAGCCGACGTCAACTACGAGCCGTGATGAAAGAAAGGCAACACCGCGCTCGGACGGCATGGTAGTGCTACCTGTGAACGTCGGCCGCCAGCGGCTGTGTGCTCCGTCTCCGTGTAACGTTCAAGAACTAAATTTAATTTTGGAAAAGAGGACAGTTCGATTCGATACAAATCATCTGAATATGAAATAGCTCTAAAAAATTTAAAAATACGAAATAATCGTGATATATATGAGTCGGTAATACAGTTAACCTAATTAAAAGTATTTAGTCTACGTTTTTTGGTGTCAGCACACTGTGTTCCAACAGGCCCAGCTTGGAAATGTGGAGTTACCTGTTTGTTTTTAATACATTTACTTTCAGTTTTACTGTTATTTTTCAATTTTACATAATCATTCAAAATTATGTTTGAAAAAATAGACAAAAGCTTAGATAAAATATCTGCATAATTGCGGCCACAGATGCAAGTTAAAGAAAATTCACTGTATATAAAGTCAGACTGAATGCTGAGCAAGGTTAACTGACACAAAATAAATTTTTTATTATTGCTTTTCAAGAAGAAAATTTCCAATCTATCTACATTAATAATAGATTCAAAAATGGCATACATATGGTAGAATATGATTGGTACATAACTGGTTGGAATTGACAGTCCTCCTCTTTGCAAATGATCAAAACATTTGTTGTTAATGAACCTTTTTCTTTAACTATTAGCGATTTGCATATCTCGCAGTTTAGGTTTTTAGAGATAGAGTGTGAAGCATATCCAGATATATAAGTCTTAGTACTATCCTCTATGTCACAATTGGCTAAGTAATTTGTCTCAAATACTTCATTGAATATATCCAAAACTTCAGGATTTTGTTTGGTATCCAAGAAATCAAAATTTTCTTGAGTTTCTAAGCAGTTTTGGAACCTTGTTATTTCTGCTAAAGAAAATGACGATTTCTTTTCATTGAAAATATGCTTCAGCCGTATTTTCTTTTCAGCATTTAAAATTTCATCATATGACACATTGTAATTGCAGCCACATAAAAGTTTATAATTGCCAAATCGTTTTTCTAAATTATCAGTGGTGAATTTTCCAGGCAATACATACTCAATGTCAAATTGATTAAATGAATATTCAATTATATTAAGTAGAGTCAGCGTGCTTTGATATAGAGCTGTATACGTTTCTGGTGTCAGGTGTCCATTATTATTCTCTAGATTATGCCATTTTTCTAACCATATCAGGAATTTTTTAAAAAATTGTACTCTATAATCACATTTATTGGTAATAGGTTTACAAAATTCGTTTCGCTTCAATTCTCCTTTTATTACACTTATATTACTGACAATATCAAACCAATTCCTGATTATTTCCAAAAAGTGTGCAGCATCATTAAACTTTAATTCTTTCATAGCAGCTATTGTTGAGTGATGGAATAAATTATCTACAAAATTTACATTTTGCCTTTCAAATGAATTTGGATGTAATGTTTTATAATTTAATTTATATGCTTTCTTAACTACAGCTTCTTTTTCCAATTGATATACAGCACGAATGTTTTCAAATTTAGCATACTGAATAATATCATTATTGTCAAAGTTAGGATATACAAAAGTTTTGTCTAGGTTTTTTAAATTAATCCAATTATTTCTGATACTCTTGAAAATATGCACAACATCATAAGTTAAATATATGTTCTTATCAGGATTATGTGGATTTGGAATAGAATAATTTTCTGATGAATCCTTTGCTAATTTCCTGAACATTGCTCTATTAATTCGGTGATTATCAGTAACAACACAAATAACTTCAAATCCACATTTTTGAACTAAATTTATCACATGTTCAACCAAAGGTGTCATTTCATCACCTGTTAAATTTGAAACTGGTAGTAATTTGATAATTTCTGTTATGTTTCCAAATGCTGAAGATAGCATGAAGGCTAAAACAGTTTTACCCATGTCATTTTTATTTGAAATTTGAAAAATACAGCCTGAATTTGCACGTTTTCAATAGTTGAAATCCTTAGTGTCCTGAGGCGCGAACAGCCACAGTCACACTTTTAGTTTATTTTTAAAGCACAGAAGCACTACAACTGGAGTCTATTTCTCATATACTCGTATTATAGTCACCGATCACTTTGAACACATACACACACTTTGAAGCTTAGAAAACAAGCTTATCTCTTAATTACAGCCTCTGCGATTCCAAAATCACAAATTGAAAAGGTTATGTTTTCTCAGCGTTTTGAGCGGCGGGAGTAACACTACCACCTACGTTGCCAGATTTCTTGTTCACGGCTCGTAGTTGACATCGGCTGTGATCATATACTAACGCGCCACGTTTGTCTGGCAGAATCAAACTACCTATGTTTAAAATTCCTCTTTAGTGTTCGACGTTTCGGTCCCAAAGGCCTCACTACTAATTTCGGGAATACTGGCGTCGCTGATGACTCGTAGAAGCAGCCTTCTGGAGCAGTTTGGGAAGGATATTAAAAAATCCACTATTTCCGGTTTATTGGTAGGTATGGCAGACAAATGATTTGACATATCCATAAAATATAATCCATGTGACGGCCGTAGGAGACGACAAGTGGCGTCTGGTAATTGTTAGGCTGCAGGTGACAGGTGATAATCCGTTTATTCACTGTCGTTCATATTTTTACACAACCATAGTTAAAAAGACGTTAATGTGGTTTATTCCATTTGAAAAATCATATCACTTTCCATAATCATTCGCTCCAATAAAAGACCGAACTAAAAAAAGTTGTATAAAAACATAGTTTATACTCACCCTCACTATATTATATCTTGTGAATACTCCTCCAGCATGCCCGTTATCCCTATGTTCTCGAATTCCATTTTGCATTTCTTCCTCAACAGTGATATATTCTTTATCGTCGGCTAGAAGGTCTACTAAGAGCGTTCCAGGGTTAGAAGGAGTTGACCATAAGCTTCCAGAATTCGCTACTAGTCGTTCCATACCTGGCAATAAAATTATTTGATGAACCTACTACTAGCTTATGGAAATATACTTATGGTAGGAAATCAAGCTAACTCTTGTCAAGAAGAATATAAAATGTTTTAGACATACATTTTCTAACTACAAACCTCAAAATTAATTTTCTAAATCAATTTAAAGCTCCTGAATCTTAGCTGATAAATGCAAAAACACGGAGCTGCACGTCCCCATCTTTGCCCTCCCCTTACCTGTCTTTGTTTTCCCACTTTTCCCGGATTTTACCTGGTATCTGGGCAACCAGATCAGACTATTATTGATCAAAAAGTTGTACAGAATGAAGACCAATGCTACCAATCGCTCAAACAGGAAATGACCAACAAAATATTTTATAGCAAAATGTGTAATCTATCTTCAGAAAAAATTAAATAGATGTAGACGTTCTCGGAGTTTTAATCACCTTTGATAAGCTTGTGTCTAAAACCATATGCTGAAATTCCAATTTGCTTTAGTTCCTCGTGAGACATCTCGGCGAGGATGTCCAAGGTGATCTGCTCTCTTTCAAAGATGTCCAAAAGATGTTCTAGCCCCAGACTGGTCAAAAATTCGGCTACTGAGTGCAAACTCGCAGATGGATCATTTTCGGATTCTGATTTGGCTTCTGCAGATAGCGGCAAAGGTGGCTGCATTGCGACTGGGACTGATAGTTGCACCTGAAATGATAGATCAGTAATTGTTAGTATTTTGCAGCATCGCCAAGCTTGACAACATGATTTTTTAGTTATTGGGCAAATGAACACTTTGAGGCATCATCTTTTCCAAGCCCCCTATACTGAGTGTAGTAGTAGTAGTAGTGGTGCTGGGGAGGCGAAGCCTGGCAACCCATTTTCCCGACCCCGTAGTATCAACACTGTAGTACTCTACAAGCCATCTACTGATAAATGATTACTGAATAAATCATCTCCAGCGATGCGATGCCCCTCCGTTGATCTTGCTCCTATAGGATGTGTATTGGATGACGCAACAATCAGTGCTGTTTTCAACAAAAATATTCTTGCTTTATTTATAACTGTTTTTTTAATCCCAATACTGGATTCAATATACTCGTATTTTGGAAACAATAATAATAATTATTGTTATTATTATTATCCACATCAGTAACAATCTGTGAATAAATTTATAATCCACAAAAGGAGAATATCCTTGTGCGTGGATTTCGTCTCACAATACATGGTCTATCAGAGTAACAAGGAACCGAGTAAGCTGAAACAATATAAATATAATACAGTAATTCTTCATTAAGTGGAAAAGGTAATAGATGGGTTAAAATTAATATATCAGAATTTATAAAAGTTATATCAAGTCATTGCGATCTTTTTGTAATAATTAATTTTATTTTATATTTGAGGGTATATTATGCTATAAATTTGTCCTAAAAATATTAAGGATATCAACCTTATGTCTTTCTTTGGTGATAACACATTCGTAACACAAAACTCTCCTGTTATGGATCTTAAGACTGCTCAATCAATTCATGAAAAATAGTTCTTTTTAGTGAAGTTATTCCTTCACTTGTGCTCAGTTGAGGAAGCTCTTACGAAATTATCATGTCAATTTCATTATTTTTCACATTATTGGTTACACATTTTGAGGAATCCTGTATATTTATACCAACACACAAAAGTGAGACCGAAATTTCACAATACATAACAAAAAATTGCAATCAATAATCTGCGAAAGATATCACTTTGTATAGGGTGATTCAAATTGGGTTTCCACATTAAAAGTGTTTAAAAAAAAAGAAATTGAAAATTTTAAAAAAGTATGTATTTGTCCTTTCAGGGCAGTTCATTACAATTATGCATGATAGATGATATCAAGTCAATGACCGCTGCGGCTCATGAGGCATGACGTAAGCCGTTTCGAGAAATTTTCGACTACTCCGTGGCACAAATCAGGTCCTATGTTGGTAATTTCGCGTCTGAACTCCTGTTTCAGCTCCGCAATTGTGTTCGGGTTATTCTTGTAGACTTTGCTCTTGAAATACCCCCAAAGAAAATAATCTAAGAGAGTTAAATCACAGAATCGCGGCGGCCAACTGATATCGCCGTTACGTGAAATAACGCGACCTGGAAACTTGCCAAGGAGTAATTGCATCGTTTCCCCTGATGTGTGACCTAGGCTTCAATTCCTATGTTATTTGGATTCTGTATGGGTGTAACTTCAAATCTTTTGTTAAAATCCGCTGTGTAGTGGAATAAGAAAAGTCCAGTTGCTGCGAAAGATGACGAATCGAGGTTCTTGGATTTTCGGCCACACTTTCGGCAACAATAGCAATATTGTGTTCCGACCGACCTCTACGAGCACGCCTAGAGGTTTTGGTGTTAACGACGGATCCAGTTTGCTCGAATTTTTGCACCAAATTCCAAACTCACAAGGCCGATTTTGTGCGTCAAAAAATTCACGTAAAGCACGAAATGTATGCTTCCTTGATCGGCCGTTTTCATTATAGGCTTGGATAATTTTAACACGTTGTTCGGTAGTATACTGCTTTATGACTGTTTTGTCTATATTTTGACGTTAGAAATGGCACGTTGTCGCTGACAAATTCAGTGGCGTTTCAAAAAAAAAATTATTTGTAATGTGGAAACTCAATTTGAATGACCCATTATATGTACATATTTCTTGAGACTGATGAGCTCTCGTGGTCCATGGACTTGCTTATCACGCTATTTGTATCATCTATACGGCTCCTTGAAAGTCTGCTTCAAATGAATCACTTAGGCCACAAAACATCCTGTGGTTTACATGCCGATAATTCCTCTGGCTTGTTTGGTAAATAAAACCACATATATTGCTGATCTTCAGTACAATGACAATACAAAAAAATATTATCATTGTATTGAATATCACACTTGTAATTGAAACGTTTACTACAGTAAAGAAGATATGTAAATACATGTGGTTTTATTGGCCATACAAGCATGGGGGATCAACTTAAACTTTAAGGATTCTACTAAAACGCTAGCTGATGTGACATCCATTGATATTTTTTATATTAGCTATCACAAATTACAAATAGAGTATTGGCGACAGTCCAGAAAACTGCATGTTGTGTGTTCAAATCAGCATGGGTTCTTCAAAGGTCGACTGCAACGATCTTAGAGCCGTATCGTCAGTCGTTCCTACAATTGTAGGATGAATTTATGGCTTACTTGATTTTCAGTTTTCCACTGTGCCGTGTCAGCGCTACATTTTGAGGTTATGCATTGCATCAAATTGTTCATGCTTTTGATTTATACCATCTAAAATTTCCTACAACTCAAAAAGAAAACATAGCTTCACAATAGGAGAGCGCTGACGCTGATACGGAACAGTAGAAATCTACAAATATCCCAGCTTTTCTGAAGGAGAGAAAATACTATGACAATCAAGGATGCCATACAAGCGTCCTACAATACGACTGACGATACGGTCTTTAGCGCCTTTTCAAGAATACTTAGTAAGTAACGTTGAAAACGGATTGCAAGTGGATGTAGACCTGACAAAAGCTATTGATGAGTGCATCACGGTTTATTAAACAATAAACTGTGCAACAAAGGTGTTACTGGGTGCTATCTACACTGGATTAGTTGTTCATCATAAATCGTAAACAGTGTGTGAAAATGGGTGACGCCAAGTCTTATGCCATAACCTCCTCTTTTCATTATTTTTTATTAATGATGTTTTTTAAAAGTGTCAGTGTCTTTTATGTGCCGACGATTTAAGATTACCTTATTCTGTTACGTCTATCATGGATTGTAAAGATATTCAAGTCGATTTAAATAGACTGGTTTCATTTTGTATTAATAATTTTTTAAATTTGAATGTTAATACGTGTAATATGAGGCGATTTTCATTCATTCATTCAGGAGTATTATATCAATGATTGTCCCCTAAAATAGATGGAACATTTCTGTGATTTAACACATAGATGATATTTTAATGAAAGGTTTTAGAATCTTGGATTTTATTCATCATGTATATTCTGGGTTTCACAGTACCTTAGTAAATAAGTCACTGTTACTCAGTATGCTAGAATAAAACATGCCATATAGACGGAGTCGAATTGCGGTTGCTCTGGGCGAGAACGGTGCCTTGGACAACAGATTTTAAACCGATAATATTTATCGGATTTTTTTTAATGAAAAAATTTAATCAAACACTAACTAGTTATCATAAATTACAACTCAATACTTAAACAAAACTATACTATCGAATTATGTCGAGTGGTCCATTCTGCTCCACCAGAAGCAACTTTCTTCGAATGTCTCTCATGAGGTTCTGGACAGTTTTTCGTAAATTCGCCGTCTTAAGTGTTCTTCATCTTGGGCTTTCCAGCTTCCATGATAAACCTTTGTAAACAGTAAAGCCCAAAAATCCTCTATTGGGCGAGCCTGTGGCAAGTTTGGGGGATTTTCGTTTTTGGGAACAAAAGGTATGTTGTGTTGTCGAAGCCAGTTTTGGGTATCTCTGAGCAATGGCATGATGCTAGGTCTGTCCAAAACATGATATCGTCATTAGAATGATGTTCGTGGGGAAACTGAAGCAATTTGGGACGGCAGTTGTCCAACAAAAGGTTGGGACACACCTCTGTTAGAAATTGCGCACCAGACAAGCATTTTATCTGCAAATTTCGCTTTATGTTTGTATCTAACATCGTCAGGGCACTCCTCTACGTCGTCCGTATAAAATCCGTCGTTTTTCTTCATTTTAGACTTACTCAATGTGAAATGCTTTTCGTCATCTAAAACAATGATTTTTCCATTGGCAAAGTGTACCCGCCACAGTTGACAAAGAAGTTGCGCTTGCGAGTATTTCTGGTACTTGAGTCTCTTTCAATATTCAAGACCATTCCTACTCAATTCCAACGATATCGATCTCTTAGAAGATCTGTATTGACGAGCCAGTCTCCTTGTTGACATTCTAACCTGATTTTAGTCGTGCTCACCAATCTCTCTGATCACTGTACAGTAAATGCACGTGGTCTTTCACTTTTTTTGGAGATTCAGACATGGTATTCCCTGCTCGCACTCCGCTATTGTTCGATAAATGGACCTGCGTGAAATGTTTTCATTCTGGAATATTGGACAGATGGGTACCCGCTGAACCAACTTGTAGATACTTTTTCTTATTTCTCAACAGCAACATTGATGCTGTTCATCACTACCTGCAATCCAATCGTCCCGCCGTGCTTTTCTTGGCGGAGACAAAAATCTCAGAGACTGCACCGATTAACCATCTCAACTTCCCAAACTACGAGGTGCACTCCAATCTGAGAAAGAACGGGGGAGTTGTGGCTTTTGTCCGCAGCAGTTTTATTTGCTGCCTTTATCGCTCTACCTCGAACCATAACTGGGATGACCTACTCAAATACCTCGCCGTCCAGATCGACTTCCTGAACATCAATCACCCCGCTTCAGAGGTAGTTCTTCTCGGTGATTTCAATGCCCATAATGAGCCTTGGTTGGGCTCAAATAAGACCGATGCAGCAGGTCGTGCAGTCGAAGCGTTCGCTCTTACTCAAGGGCTGACCCAGCTGGTGACGAGCCCTACTTTTTTCCCCCGCGTCTCGTCACACGCCAGTAGGCTGCTGGATCTCTTTCTGACCACGCATCCTGTCCCTTACAGCACTGCTGTCCTGCCCCCCATGGGTAACTCAGATCACGGTGTTGTGAAGGTTAGGTTTCGGTCAGAAGCCGCTGTGGCAGCAGAAACACGTACAGGCCGCAAAACTGGGAAGGGCTCAGAGACTTCTTCTCTACCTTTCCTTGGAGAGATGTCTGTTTCACTGACGCGGATGCGTCGACTGTCTGTTCTTCGATAACAGAAATTATCCACGTCGGAATGGATGAATACATCCCTCACACAGTGAAAGTTCCTAAACCAGGGTCCAACGGCTGGTTCAACAAATCGTGTGACACTGCTCGCCAGCAGAATATCAAGACACACAGAACCTACTTACAAAACCCCACTGTAGAGAACAGACAAGCCGACGTCGAGTCCAGAAACAAATATAACGAAGCGGTTCGCAATGCCAAAAACCAGCATGATATAAAAGTTAGGCACAGGGTAATGTCGCAGCGCAATGGCAGTCGGTGTTTCTGGACACTGGCCAAGCAGATTGAAAAGAACTTCTCACACAGTAGCCTTCCACCATTTGGTGTCACTACGTGTCATGGTCACATGGAACTATTGTATTCGACTCAAAGGCCAAGGCTATCACTGCTTGGGGACGCAACAATCTTGTACAGTTCAATGCTTCCAAAACACGGTACTGTACTTTGACGAACAAAAAGCGTCCTAGCGCTCATACAGTTTCGATGGACGGCCGAGTTCTACCAAAGAGCCATTCATTTCGGCTGGTCGGAGTCCAGATCACCGAGGACCTGATCTGACACGAACACATCTCTTCAATAGCTGCAGCTGCTGGGAAAAAGCTTGGCTATTTGTTTAGGGCTAAGAAGTACTTTTCTCCGCATGACCTTCTCACTCTATACAAGGCCCAGATAAGGCCTAGCCTCGAGTATGCTCACACATTTGGGGTGCTGCCGCCCCGACTACATTGTCCATGCTCGATGCTGTCCAGAGGAGGGCGGTCCGACTGATCGATGACTCTTCTCTAACAGACAGTCTCGGGACTCTTTCGCACCGGCGAGCCGTCGGCGATCTAGCTCTTTTCTATCGCTACACCAACGGGCTTTGCTCCTCAGAGCTCTCTTCCATGATGCCGCCGCGCGATGTGCCTGCCAGACAGACCCGCCTGACTTCGGCGTCCCATCCTAACCGTGTCAAACTTCGTGCATCCAGAACTGGCCGATACGACCGCTCCTTTGTCCCGATGGTGTCCAGATTGTGGAACAATCTACAAGAAGAAGCTTTTCCCAGTTCTACTAACCTTAGGCAGTTCAAAAATCGTATTAACAAAATTTCTTTGGGATCATCATAGCAGCCGCGGTGTTCCGGCATTTAGGCTTCTGCCTGAGCGGCTGTTTCGATATAAAAAAAAAACTAATTTATACTTCTCAAAGCGAAAACCTCGAAATAAATAAATGTCAACTGACAGTAAAGTAAACAAACTTTTGTTTATTTTATATTATTTTATGTTCGTTAAAATTAAAACCAATGAATTGTGTGCCAACTCTTTTAGGACATACGTTATAAAGAATAAAGGACGTGTACTTACCGCAGCCCCCGAAGGCATGATCACCGTCTCTGTTATGAGACTCGGAGCGGATGCGTGCGAAGCTAGCGCCACCGACGGCGGTCTCGACCTCGGTGTAGTGGGGACGTCGGCCGAGGAATTTCCACCGGAAATGGCGGCGGCGATTAGAGGTAGAGGGGGTAGAGGAGGGGCAGTGGGCACGCCTTGCTGGGAGGCCATCGCGTCTTGCAGGAGACAGCGGACGTCTTCGGCTTGCGCCAGGTCCACGGGTGCTTGGTTCTCCTGGTTCTTCAGGAATGGATCGGCGCCGTGGGCGAGCTATCAATATAAAAATAAATTAACAATGTAAGTGTCAGTAAATAAGTAAACTTAAAACCACTACTGGAGGCAGCAGACTACCAATTGCATATAATGGGTGATTTTTTTGCTAGTATCTTTTTGGCAACACTGTTTTTGACAGATGACGCGTGAATCGTATCTTGTGTCATTGTCAAACTTGTTCAGTTTGGTCTATAATTTAACCATGAGTCGACTTACGAACGAACAACGCTTGCAAATTATTGAATTTTACTATCAAAATTCATGCTCGGTTAAGAGAGTGCATCGAGCACTGCTTCCAATTTAAGGGCAATTTGGTCGGCCTACTGAGGGTGCTATTCGGAAGCTTGTGACTAAATTTCGAACCCAGTTTACATTATTGGACATTAAACCACCAACACGCAGACGTAGAGTGATGACTGAAGAAAATATTGCGGGTGTATCCGCCAGTGTCAGTGATGACCGTGAAATGTCGATTCGCCACCGTACGCAGCAATTGGGCCTCTGTTACACCACTACGTGGAAAATTTTGCGACAGGATTTGGGTGTAAAACCTTATAAGATACAGCTGGTGCAAGAATTGAAGCCACACGACCTCCCAGAACGTTACCAATTTGGTGAATAGGCGCTGGCAAAGTTGGAGGAAGATCCACATTTTTATCGAAAAATTGTGTTCAGCGACGAAGCTCATTTCTGGTTGAATGGGTACGTTTACAAGCAAAATTGCCGCATCTGGAGTGAAGACCAGCCAGAAGCATTGCAAGAGCTACCAATGCATCCCGAAAAAATCACTGTTTTGTGTGGATTATGGGCCGGTGGCATCATCGGGCCGTACTTCTTCAAAGACGACAATGGCCGGAACGTAACTGTGAATGGCGAGCGCTACCGTGCGATGATAACAAACTTTTTTTTGCCCAAAATGGAAGAGCTGGACTTGGCTGACATGTGGTTTCAACAAGACGGTGCCACATGCCACACCGCACACGAAACAATGGCTCTATCGAGAGGCGAGTTCGGTGAACAGTTTATCTCACGTTTGGGGCCCGTCAATTGGCCGCCTAGATCGTGTGATTTAACGCCGTTGGACTATTTCTTGTGGGGCCATGTTAAGGCTAATGTCTACAGGGATAAACCAGCAACGACTGACGCACTGGAAGCCAATATTGAAGCATTTATTCGTGAGATACCGTCCGATATGTTGGAGAGAGTGTGCCAAAATTGGACCTTGCGCATGGGCCATCTAAAGCGGAGCCGCGGCCAACATTTACATGAAATAATCTTTAAACATTAAATTATATCGACCGTTCTATCGACTCAAATAAAGATTTAATCGTTTTTTCAAATTTTTTGTTTTTTTTTTTGAAAATCAAATCCTATACCTCTTAAAAAATCACCCGTTATAACAGCAAGAAAAAATGTAAACAAAACTATTTCTTATGAAAAATTTTTTATTCGGAAGATAGTCAACTTACAGGAATCTATTATTTTACCCACGTTGTAATATACTACTGTCTTCAGCGCTGGTGTTCTTTTAGGTTCAATATTTTTGAATACTCTCTTTAAAGCGACTGTAGTAAATCTAATATCTCTTCTTTAAGGTGAATGTACACAATCAATATTTACTGTCATCCGTCCGTATTCATCATGGAACACATTACATTTCACTCAGAATACTTATTAACCGTGTTGCCAGATCTGCTTTCCAGTAGTTTTTTATTTGAGCGTAATACGCTCCCGAACTGCTACTGCTACTGGTCGTCGGTTATTATTGATGTAAAACATTACGAAATCCACTGCCACCGGCGTAATGATCAGTAAATACTGATGGTACGGAATACAGTAATTTCTAATTTTAACTGAATCGCGAAAGTTCTTTTCAAAATGTCTTTTTACTGAAAATGCTTTCTTAAAGGTGAATGAGTATTTTAGGCATAATCCACGTAAGTTACTATACTCGCTCCCCTTCAAATAATATCGCACAATCGACGTTCAGTGCACAAAACTACGTACGTGAACTTACGTGGTTTTTGCATGCACTTATCGACAGCGAGTACTAGAATGAGTGATTTCAAACACAGTACCAGGATTACTGATTTGTTTTATTTTCATATTTATATGGTAATATTAAAACATGCAAAATGTGCCTGTGACATGTTGTTACGTAAATTTAAGCGCAATTTTCAATAAGCAATGATTATAATTAAATGGTGTTTGCTTATTATATACAACTAACCATACATCCATAATAGTTTTGGGCTTTTTCCATAATTTATAGAGACTCTTCCAATAGTACAATTTATCTTAGCATGGATACAAAACTAAAAGTATGAGTCGTCGAACCTAATGCCGTATTCACTTTGCATAGTCATCATTTTTCTCATTTTCTTCTCTCTTTATTAGAGAAAAAAAAGTTTTTTTGACATCATTCGCATTTGAGAGAGGGAAACCTCTAGAAAGCCTCAACCATCACTGTCAAAAACTACATTTTCCTAACAAACAATGGCACTTACCAGCAAGGCGCATAACTGTGTTCTACCCTTTTGAGCAGCTTCGTGAAGAGGCGTAAATCCCCACTTATCAGTCGCATTAACTACCGTGTTATGTTTTATCAGCAATGCAGCGATGTCAAGGTGACCATAACTAGAAGCGTTGTGTAGAGGAATGAGGCCTCCTTTGTCCTGCGCGTTCACATCTGCGCCATGTTCCAGAAGGAACTCGGCGACTTCGACGTTGTTATAACCGGCTGTAAATAAGAGAAGCCATAAAAAATGGTAACTGACACACAAAATTATTGAATCTATGTATTCCACAAAACTATCTTTCAGATGGACGCAATACTATATACAATTGTTTTTCATTAAGACAGAGAAGCAGTGGGCTGACAAAATAATTAATGATTGACACATGTTTGAAATGAGCATTAAATGGACAGGAACTACTTTTGTTCTTTAACTTAACTCCCATTTTTCTGTTTTCCACGTCACAATTCATACTCACAAAGGAAATGAAGCACTGACTCAATATCTTCGCGTTCCTAAGATTTTTAATTACAAACCATTTTTGAAGCTATGCTAAAACGTTTCAGCTGAATAAAATTTCTCTTAAGAGAAGGGTAAGGTATTCAATTTTTTTCGTGAGTTTTTCAACTTTTTTGATAAACGCATCTCAAGTACATTGTGTCAAAAGTTCAAATCGATCAGAACAAAGTGATGAAGTAATTATTATTTAAGAGGTTGTTCCTTTTGACTGATTTACTATACTTATTCGAGCAAAACAATACATGTTTAGATGCCACCAGCCGCACAAACAATATCAAAACGTCAACAAACTCGTTTAGCCGATGTTTTTCTTATCATATTTGGTCTTCGTCAACTTTTTTAGAGGAGTTACAATTTTTAAACGACCACAAACCTCACGTTTTGATACTGTTCCTATTTCTGATTACTTTATGAATAAAAAAAATAGATGTTGGAATATAACTTTACAGCATCCAAATTTTGGGACTTTCTTCCACTTACCAGCTAAATGAAGAGGTGTTGAATTTCTACCCTGAGCGTCCCTGCAGTTGATATTCTCTGGGGTAACGAGCCTTTGTACTCTAGCTAAGTTACCCTTTTTGGCAGCATCCAAAAGAGCTGAGTTACCCCTGAGTAAATCCGCTACGTCTTGATCGCTATCTCTGACTAAATCTAAAGGAGTGGCACCGTCCCTATTTTTCTTGCTTGGGTCGGCACCATGCTAAAAATATATAATTCGTGTTACTTTTTTAATTGACACCAGACTGTACCATCTACTTTTGAAAGTTGATTATGGCTAATGGATGTTCAATGAAAATCTAGTCTAGTTCTTAAGGATAGTGGAACGTGAATAAATACGAAACTACGCATAGAAATTACCATCTAAATAAATAATAAACGTTTTATAGTTAATGTTTACCTTGAGCAATAATTTGACTATTTCATATTTTCCTTTGGCGGCAGCTTCGTGTAAAGGCGTAAACTTCCATAAATCAGCGACGTTCACACTGGCACCATGTTTTACTAATAACTCAGTAACTTCATAGTGGCCATATGAACAAGCATTATGGAGAGGAACCAGCCCACTGAAATAAGAATAACACAGTTACCCTCCAGATTTCAGGAGCTCAAAGACAATCAAGTTCAGACTGAGTAAATGTACTTTGAAACAGAATGGGATTAACTGATCAAAAGAATGTCACTGTCAAGACAAATCTAGAGATCTCTCATATGTCAACATCCATCAAAAATAGAAGATTTTAAACGAAAATTTCAAATCTGAAGACGCGCTACAGCTCAAGACGACTTGATGGATTTCGACATACGAGGTGTCTAGATTTGTTTTGATAGTGCGAGTGACAGTGGATATACCAAAATTTCATAAATCCAAAACGGTAGATTCTGCATTGATATTTCTATTTGACCGGCTACAGGCAAACAGCTTAATCCATTTTGACATTTGAGGTGTCATTAGATTCATTTTGACAGCACAATTAATAATTCATTTTCTTCAGATGCTGCAGTAGGCTTTTTTGTATTTTTTAAAAATGTACTTACTACCTTGATCAAAAAGTTCCCGGAATTTATTAAAAAATAAACAATACAAGTTTATTGTTCAAAATCGATACTTTCCCCTTCAAAGTAGTCCCCATTGACTGCAATGCACTTATGCCAACACTTGATCCAGTCCTCGAAACATTTTTTAAACTCGATGTTAAGTATCTCAATTAGGGACATTTTCGATTTTTCCATTATCTCCTCTCGGCTGCTGAAACGGGCTCCTCTCAGTGGCTTTTTGATTAAACAAGAAGTCACAGGGGGCTAAATCAGGTGAATTGGGTGGTTGTTGAATGGTATTCCTGTTGTTTTTGGCCAAAAACTTACGGATAATGATGGCACTCTGCGATAGTGCGTTATCGTGGTGCAAGATCCACGAGTTGTTTGCCCTCAAATGCTTCCGTATTTGACGGATTGATTCACGCAAACATCTCAAAACACCCAAATAGTACTCCTTGTTGACAGTCTGATCTTCTGGCCAGAATTCACTATGCATCAAGCCGTAGTAATTCATGAAAACTGTGAGCACTACCGTCTTTTTCGATTGGAAACGACGCGGTTTCTTCGGTCTCGGCTCATCCGGCGCGCGCGATTCACTCGCCTGATGGCTTGACTGCCTGTAGTACTCATAAACCCACGTCTCGTCTCCAGTAATGATGCGTTTGATAAATGTTGGTCATTTTTTTTGCACGAAATTCAAGTCTTTTGGCACCAACTTAGGCAGCAGCGGTGGCCGCAGTAGTAGACTCTTCGGTCTCCTGGTCAGTCGGCGTGCGCTGTACGGGTTCGAATCCCGTCCCAGGAGAAATTTTTCTCTTGGCTATGGATGTTGTGATTGTGCGTAGGTAGTAGACTGTCGAACGCGGAGGTATCACCCGGCGGATCTCGTAGGCGGGGCCAGAATGCATGTTGCATGCACACGTGTTCGCTCGCCAGAGTCCGTGTGGCGTTCCCCCTTTCCCATGTATCCCCCTATAGACCCACGGTACCCCATAGGTGTTTAGGCCTTAAGCATTCATGGTAGTTGGAGTATAAAAAAAATGACTGCAACACGACAGAGACTCAAATTGTTGACCAAAGTGCTTTGAACGGATCGATAAGCGATGCTCAAGTGCTCTGCCATTTCTCTGATAGTTAATTTGCAGTTGGTGACCAACATTTTCTTCACTTTGTCTACGTTTTCTTCTGTTTTCGATGTCGATGGCCTGCCGCTGCGCTCATCATCGGAGATGGACTGTCGACCTTCTGTGACCCATCGAAAACGGCTGTTTTCTTCAAAGCATCGTTGCCGAAACATTTTCCTAGTATTTCCAAGGTTTGTGTGCCGTTGATATTGTTTTTAACACAAAATTTAATGGAAATGCGTTCATTCAGATCCATTTTAAAAATCCTAATAAGTCGTGAACACGCTCAAAGGCACATGTACTCCACTCGACGTAGCTTTGACAACTGATAATGGAATGACGCCAAATTTCGGGGGGAATATCAGTGAAAGTTGGGCACCATAACAAGACCAACAGAATTGAAAGCCGAGTGCTACAAGCACCACACGGCGACCATTCCGGGAACTTTTTGATCAAGGTGGTATTTTATTTTTATCATCTAAGCTCTAAGCTATCCCATAACTCCTAAAGTATTAATCCTACAGTAAAAATGTATATGGCATAACTTGTAAATTATATTTATATATTAAAATAATAAAGATTATTACTAAAAGTTTACAAGATGCATATAAAAACCAGAAGATAGGAACCTCTCCTCCGTTTCCACATTGCTAACATTTTAATATATCCATCAGAACATCTCAAGGAATAGCAATTACCAATACCAGAAATCCCAATATTCAAATCTACACGACTTATTTGGCGTGATCAACGATATTTAAGCTAATTTCTTTAGGTCATTACGTATATGCCGAATTCTTACTAGCAAATACCTAGCGACCGTCCATAACCACAAAATGAGGTTGTCATTTGCTTATCAGTCATTTTCAGTCAAAACGCAAAACCGACGCAACTGAATTCGAAAACGGGTTGAAGTCGAATTGCCGTCGGGATGTCTTTATTGAATACAATGCCTTACAGTCCACATCGACAAATGACTTGATGTTCAAATTTTATGAATTTGTATACACACAAAAATGGAGTATTTCTAAAGTGACATAACTCCGAAATAAGTTATACTCACCCTTTATCCTTGGCATGGACATCAGCCCCTTGCCCTAGCAGAAACTCAACTACAGCTACCCTGTTGTATCCTGCTGCAAAATGCAGTGGAGTCGAGTGTCTACCATCCAAGTCTCGACAGTTGACTGAGTGAGGATGTGCAGCCACTAACCGACGAACCTATCATCATTGTGTTTGTAACAGTATTAAATATGAACACCAGGCAAAATTCATATTCCATAGAACCGTGATCCTAAGGCTCGCAGATCCCAACGTTTTATGTAGAAATAAATTGTCTCAAAACGAAATAAATTACTTTGATCTGGTCTGGCTACTCGCACACCCGAACACGTCAAAACATTTTTGGTTCGAAAAAACGTTTCTGTACACCATCTCCCTAAAAAACTAGGAGAGGAATATTTTGCGAAACAAAATGTTTCCAACTATGTGCACAGTAATGTTAAGTGAACACAAGTAAAAAGTAAAACAAACAATTTCAGCGATAATATCGTGTTGGAATTCATTAAGAAACTCCTATAAAGGTCATATACAATGCATTTCATAGCAGTTTATGGTTTCTTTTGTAAAATATTTATACGAGTATAAACATTTGAAGATTTATTTAGATACTTTAGTAGTACAATTAGGCTATTTGTTGATTTGTTTTGTATGATTTTTGTGAAGTCACCGTCAACTTGTATGAAACATATTTGATAGCCTATATCTATTTAGCCCATGAATGTGAATTAAATGTTTCGATCATATGAAGTGGCGAAGTATTTCTTACCTGTTCGAGATCGCCCGACTTTGCAGCTTCCAACAGCCTACATTCTGTGTCAGCATTCGTCACTGCAGTGATGCAAGAAGTTGCTGCTGATGCACAGGTTGTCAAGCTGCTACCACTCGTGGGAGGAGGATCTACATTAAGGAAACAGATAAAATATATAACTTACAGAATATTACAGAGTAAAATAAAAAAAATAAAGTGTTTGACCCACCTTGCAATAATTTCAAGACGTTTTCGGACGCCATTTGAGCTGCAGTATAACCCTGTAGTGAAACAATAGTAGTGTCAACGTTGTAGCTGAGTAATATTCTACATGCCTGGACGTTATCTTCTCTTGCACATCTATGTAGAGCTGTCTGACCCAACCCGTCCAAAGCATTCACCTACAAAGACCAAATGAACAGTTTCATGAAACTAGGATTCAAATTATGGTAAATGAATAGATCAATCTTACAGATCACGTTTCCGCCTAAAACATTTGGGTGAAAAAAGTGCCTGGTTCATAAAGACTCTAACCAGTCTTAGCTTGATTCCATAGAGGTTTAATGTGTAATATTATTATGGAGGCCACACCATACAGGGCGTCCCAGATAACGATCTCCCAGGCACATAGAGAACACAAAAAATAATGTCACATGTTCCCCTATATAAATAAACTACGTTACTCCTCTGTGGAGATATAGGCCTGTAAGAGCCCTCCCTCACCAGGAGCTCATAGTGACGTTTTTTAGTCGCTGTATAATAATGACTTAAAAATAATATCTTCTGAATCCTAAAACTACAAAACAAACATAGTTTTGCTTGATTTGCTAGAATAAACCGATTTGGAAACAAAAAGGTCTTATTTCGGAACTATTCCCGTCAATTTACACTGCTGTTGATGTTGAACGAAATACTACGCAAATTTGTACGGATTTACTCTTCAATCTAGACAGCATTGAGGTTATCCAGCAGCTGAAGAGCATCTGCATTGGGGTACCGATGCAGCCTTTCTTCGAGCCTGGCCGTTACTTTCTTGATCTTGTCGATAACCAGAGGAATATTCAGATCGAGATGAATATCCCTATTGCAAACATACCATCTTCCTTCAAACTTTATCTTGGAACCTTGAATAATTTTGATGTTCGAATACTTGGAACAGCCCCTTGGTGGCAACAACAGAGCCAGACAGGTTTTAAGATCTGATTATGGATCGTCTTTGTTATGAAGTGATAGGCTTTGAGAATATTCCCAACAACCAATAATATTGCCAGTAGCGGAGGTTCAGTACTTCCCACTTTTTTTTTGATATTACGATTCCACGCGTGTTCAATAATCGAACGAAAATATACATTTGATTATCAATACCATCTACAATGAGAATCAAATTTGTCTTGGCTTGCGTTTAACGTGTAAGAGATAGTGTGTATAGGCACATATGTTAGAAAGGGATAGAAGCCGCCTGGATCGTGAGGGTCATCACCGCGTTGTCTAGCATCGCTGAATGTTACAACAGTTCCTTGAAATAAGATGCATATTGAAAATATGTTAGTTTATTCTTGATGCCCAAATAATTGTTTTATTTTGAGCGTACACATTTTTGAATTGTGAATTGTGTCGAATCTGTTTAAACTTGATTTCCGATCGAAATGAAAGGTCAGGATCGTTACAAATTCTGCAACATTGCATCAATGGTGCGTTTGATAACACTTCATCTTGTACGTTTAGTAAGTAAGCAAAAAAGGTGGAAAAGCATTAAAAATATCTTTTTCTCATGAAAAAGTAAACGCATCCACTGTTAAGGAATCTGGATCAGGTTTACATGAAATGTAGCGCTCACATTTAGTATTTAATTTTGTTGCAAAGAGGTCTATGTCTGGTATTCCGAACCTACAACAGATGGTGGAGAAAGCCTCAGAATTTAATGTATATTCTGTCTCGATATTCTGTAACCGAGATGCCCTATCCGCAAAAATATTCTGTTTAGTATTTATATAGGAAGCAAAAATGAAGATTTTTCGAGCTTCACACCCTGTCCACAACTCTCTGACAATACTGTTCAATTTACTGTATCTTACACTGCCCATGCGTTAATGCAGGATACAGCTGTTGTATTGTCAACACGAAGAAGTATGTAACAATTAGAGAGGTTTTGAGTAAATGATTTTACCGCATTTAGTGCAGCTACCAATTCTAAATAGTTAATATGGTGTGAGGCCTCAAAAGAATTCCAGAATCCATTAGTAGTGTGACGACTGCAAAACGCTCCCCAACCAGTTGGGAAGGCGTCAGAAAAAATTTCTAAATCGTAATTTTTACTTGGTAATATCGGCGTTCCTTTATTAAGTGAAAGTGATCGCATCCACCATTCTAAATCAATTTTCATATAATTTGAGACTGTCAATTTACTTTTATAATTTTTGTTATTACGGTGTAAGGTGATAAATTTTTCTCGTTCCAAAATCTTGAAATTGCAGGTTTGTTTACTGTATGAAAAAGAAGTTTTAACAAGAGAGACACCTTTTGTTGTGGTATGGATAATAATAATTCTCGAGAGTCGTATAAAAAACCTAAGTACTTACAATTCTTCATTGGAGTAAAACAACTCTTTCCCATATTTATAACAAATCCTAGAGAAACTAGGATCTTTTTAGTAAACTGAGAATCAGTGATTGCTGCTTGTTGTGACTTACTAATGATAATTATATCATCAAGATAAACGACGCATACAATACCGTGGCTTCGAAGTTATCGTAAGACTGGTTTAAACATTTTTGTGAAAATGTAGGAAGCAGTACTGAGTCCAAAAATATGCGCCCTTGAGGTCTATCGTGGTGAAAAAAGAATCTTTATAAATTAAGTGTAATACTGTCCTATAATCCTCCATCTTGGAATGGGAGACCTTCAAGAAGGTATTTAATTTTTTTAGATTTAAGATAAATCTAGAACTGGTTTAGGTACGAGAAAATATGGGGCAATAAACTGATTAACTTGTGGGCCTGTAGCGGAGATTTCTCCTATAGAGATTAGTTTAGATAAACTGTCTTCCAATTCTTTTGAGTTAGTTGTGTTTCCCCTCCTCCTCCCTTTTGTATCGAAGATTAAACGAACCTTGGCGATAGTGAAAAAACTGTGAACCTCGCCGTGAAGATCCGGCAATCTGTTTGGATGATGAAGGGAGACGAGACGAAGTGGAAGCAGTGGTCACTGTACGTAGAATCTTGGGTTTCTTTTTAATAGACGCGCAAAACTTCTTTGCTTCAGAAGAGCATTTTAGTTTTTCTGTAAAATTCTGTCCAAAAAGGAAAGAATCTATGGGGCAAGTCTCCAATATATCCTTAACGGAGTCATCTAAACATGGAACAATTAAGTAGCGTCTATGCTTTGAGAGAGAATAGAAAGCGTCGGCCACAAGCTTCATTGGATCCCCGAATTTTTCCAACTCCTCGTGAGTAGATGGTGGCGTGTCGGATTTCTTAAGTTCTTGATAAATGGTATTTGAAGGAACAGCTAAGGCACTTATAGCTGCTGCTAATTGACCCTGAAGTTTTGATAGACACATATCGTGCCTCAATACTGCCTGTGTTAAACAAGATTTAATATCAGGGTTTATCTCTGGTGGTTTCAGAGCCTCACAACCTTTTAAAGTAGAATATTGTTCCAGGGTAGTTTTTCGTCCATCTGCATCCAAGCCCTTTGATAAGAAAACTGATAGCAAGTCTAAAATATCGGAATGCACCTCTGGCCCTAAATTGTCCGATGTTTTCTTTTCTAGCAGGACCAATAAACCATTAGGAGGTTGCACCCGATTCGCTTTTGAAAGGTCGGCAATGCGACAGGTCATTTCGGGGTCCTCGTCGTCACTAGGTTGGGGCCCGTCAGAAATCTCCGAGACGCCTATGGACAAATAAATTCGTAGGAATTTATCGAGTAACAAAAAACGTAAGATGAGGCGAGATGTTTATCAACGAGCGATAACACGGCGTGGCCGGCCTCACTTTTTCAGAAATGCTCGGCTGGAACTGCACAAAATATATATGTATATTCCAGTGGGAATATTAAGAAAACAAAATACCAGTGGGCAAATTGATAATTGAAAATATTGTATATTTGCAGCAGTTCGTTACTTCCAAATGTTGCGAACAAAGGATCTACAAAACAAAGAGATTATTAAAAAACACTATCCACTTACTCGAGTTTTCCAAAAGATCCTGCAATAATTCTTGTATCTTTCTCTTCATAGATTTACGATTTTCCGACATTATTCACCACTTTTACGTGCAAAGGAAAAATCCGTCCTCACAGAGCACACGAAAAAATTGTAATGAATAGTGACGAGTGTTCGGACGGCAGGAAATCGGAGACCCAGTGGCGGAGAGAATTTGCTTTAAAATTCGTGCTTCAGAGCTTGGAAAAAGTTGCAACTACTATTAAAACACGTTGCTTTTCCGTAATAGACTAACTTTTATTTTATACATGACTGTTGACCGCGCTACACATAGTTACACACAGTACAACCTAGATGGCGTTACGTCACACATTTTTATTTATATTGTTATCTATTCCAATAACTACAAGTGTAATTATTGTAATTTGAGAACGGCAATACGAAATATAATAACTACAATGATCGCAGAAAACTTGGTTAGAAATTAGTTGACCCCAATAAATTAAATTTTAAATTTATTATGGAGCTACCCTCAAGACTCAACATGTTTGCAGTATGCAGACATGGATCGCCGAGAATATCATTGTAAGCAAAGTTGCAAATCTGAGCAAATCTGAGCCTGTTGCATTTTGCATATAAACAAAATAAACTTCTCTTGAAAACCGCAAAGGCTGACACATCTCAATCAGCTGAGGTTGGTCTGATCTTACCTCATTTGAAGTGAGTTTTGGTAAAAAGAATGGGCTATAAACTGAACAAACTCAAGTGGGTTGAGCGTATCTGAGATTGTGCGTAAAACGAACGCGAGTATTATTTTATTTTCGTCAAGGAACCTTGTTTAAAGGTGCCATGTAAAAAAATATTAAAATATATTCACCTTGGCCCCATGTCTCAACAAAACCTCAACCACATCCAACGCCCCATTGTCAGCAGCAACATGCAACGGAGTAAGAAAATCCTTATTTTTATCGTCCAGATGCGCCCCTTTCCTGATCAAAACGTCTGCAGCCTGTCTCCTCTTCGGATGGGGCGACGAAGCTACAGCGTGAAGGACAGTGTCTCCTGTATATGGATGTTTGAAATCCAAGATGTCTGTGGCCTTCTTCAGTTTGGCGATGTCAGCTTGACGAGCGGCATCCAATAATTGGTGGCCTTTATATTCATCTGAAAATACAATAGCTTTATCATGTATCTATGCATACCCATATGTATGTTTATACAAGGTCTGTAAATTAAGTGATGAGTTTGGCAACGTAGCGTTCGATCTGGCAACACTGGAGAGACAGGGAAACTTGTGATCCACCTTCAGTACAAGTTTGAACTCGCTCGAGTTGTTTGGATGTAGCGATTTTTTTTGTGAGTTTTTTCTATTGTGTTCCAAAAATGAGTGAATCAATTTCAAGTAACGGTGTGCTATCAGGCTTTGCTTCAGACTTCGGGACAGTGGGACAGTACAACGCAAACTCTTGCTAAACTTCAGTAGGCCTACGGAGATCTTTTGTCAAGAGCCAGGTTTTTGGCCAGTAAAAACATTCCTGTGGCTCATCAGCCTCCTTATTAGCCTGATTTGAGTCCTTTTGACTTTTTTCTCTTCCCGAAGCTGAAAAATCACCTCAATTTTGGGCCAGTCGAAAACATTCAAACTGTTGAAAGCAACCAGCTGAAGGGAATTCCTGTATCGGAGTTCCAGCACTGCTATGAGGAGAGGAATGACCATCTCGAGCGTTTTGTGGCTTCAGAAGGAACTTATTTTGAGGGTGACAATATAAAATTCTAATTATATTTGGATAAAAAAAATTGAAAAATCAGTCTCATCACTTAATTTTCAGGTCCTGTATGGCATCTACATCACGAAAAACCATGTCACTTATTGCCGACGGTCTGTCTGAACACATATCCTCGCCCGTCTTAGAAAGTACCTCTAGGATTTTGACGAGATTGTCATATAAGGATACAATTATGTCAAGGACTCAATCGGACCAGTGGTGGCGAAACTGCGGGCAAAAAACGAAAAAAAAAAAACGCTTAAACCTAAACAACACACCCGCACGGGTATAACGTATCTTGAACAGTGACATTGGGTCGTTTTTTACATAACGAAGGCTTTTCTACAAGATGTTAACATAGCACTAGCTGATGCACACTTGTGATATCGTTTTGTAGTTGTACGTGTTGTCTAAACGACATAATGCTTCAGTTATCAGTGTTTGGCTCTAATGTGATATAACATCAGCTTCAGAGATGGCATTATGCATAGGTGCATAGTGAGAATTTGTGTGCTGATAATATGTGTTGATGATGATTCCATTGGTTTCTTGTCTCAAATACCCTTACTTGAGATTCAAAGTTGCGCATCCACTTTTTCTTATAAATTCTGGAAATTACATAAGCAAATTTGTTGGATTTCAAAAATGAGAGAGATAAGAAAAGAAAATCCCTGGTTGGTGAAGTAACATGTGAGAAAATATGCTACAGGCAGGGATATTTACGAAAGGTTTTTAAATTATTTTTTATTTCCAGTTATTCAAATTTTAAAGGGATGTATTTTTTTAAAAGTTTGAAGAGTGGTACGTCATTCCTAATTTTTCTATGCACACAGCGCGGGCGCGGTGGCAATTTGCCGTAATGCTCCTCAATGTTTTTGGAAACACAAATACGGGCTCAATCGTAATTTATAACTTTGAACATAACCTATGTTCAGGAAAGATAACAGATAAATAACCCGTCGGGCACAGCTATTTGATATACTTCATTGGCAGCATATTCAGTAATAATTTTCTCACATAGGAAATATCACTAATTTTATACACATAGTCATCCAGGTGCGATCTTACTACTCAACCAACTTTCTTTCTTTCACATCTTCTCAGAGATAAATCTACTTGGCTTTCTGTAACCAACAAGGGATGCTTGAGCGTGTCGTTGAGCCATTCCTCCATAGATGGACGCTTTTGAAGACGCTCACAGCGATCATAGCGAGCAAACGTGGAATGAACTATTTGCACACTAAAAACTACCTAGTCTGCAAGATTACATTTAGTTATTTTTTTTGACGTTTTTTACCTAAATAACCCTGCCAATCTTCACAAGAACTTGTTGTGTTTCTCTTTTTGAAGAACAAAGTACAATGGGATCACATTGGTAATGCAAGTATTTTTTCAAGATTCCAAACATACTCTGAGGGAATCGGCAAGAAGAGATAAGATGTTATAATGAAGATGGCTCAACATATGGCATTTTGGCTAATAAAAGATGTATACAATGTACCCAAAGCAAAGATGTAATAACACTAGGATCTAATGAACCTTTGGAGACCAATGTAGGTTGAACGAGGAAAAAGTTATGTGATTTAAATGTATTTAACATCAATATCTTTTTTCCGAAACTTTGCAAAAGTATTTCATATATGACGTTATTTCAACATATGCCGAAAAACAAAAAAAAAAAAAAATATCTTCAAACGGCCAATTTTCAAGCTCACCAAGATGGTGTTTTCGCTATTTCGCTGTATTTCGTTCATCAGACACCAGCATCATCTCGTCTTTTTCAAGTATTACCGCACATGCGCAGAGATACGATAACAATAAAAATCATTATTTTTCGTAGTCTAATAACTCCCTGCTATCTCCATTGAAGTGGCAGTGCGCTCTACCAATAATCAATACTTACATATTAGTCTATCTTGGAGCTCTCTCGTAGGGGCGACATCTATAGCAGTCTTCCCGTGGCAGTTGGCTTGGTAGAGTTCAGCTCCTTCACTCAGCAACAGAGAACACACCTCTTGTCGGGACTTGGAAGCTGCTTCGTGGAGTGGAGTGAATGCCCATAGGTCGTTGGCGTTTACGTTGGCACCGTGGCGAATGAGGGTTTCCGTCACCTCAAAATGCCCGTAGGAACAGGCGTTATGAAGGGGAACAAGACCTCTGAAAATTTTTTCGTCTGAAAAGTTGAGCTGTCATTTTACGTGAGAGTGCAACTTCACGATAGTGTCAACATTGATCACGTAACTGGATTTGGAATTTGGATAAGCGTGCAGCATGACTAAAAACTAATCACTTCAACTATAAACTTATGTTATAATGGACAGTGACAGTGACTAGAAGCGATTAGTAGAAATCAAGACATCTCAACAGAAGAAGAGACCAATTGGAGCTGTTATAAGAAGTGCAATACACACTGAAGTAGGGAGTCCAGTGGGAAAGTTCACTTTTTGATTTAAGAAAAAAAAAATACAAACTTAATGAAAAGAAGATACTTATTACTATCAACATATTCGTAAATTCGGCGGGTTTTATTTCTTAAATATCATTCCGTCCAAATGTTTGCCATCCCTTCATACGCAAATTCTGAAACACTCTCTAGCAGAGTTCCGGAGTGATGTTGTTTATTTCTCGTCGACTCTCTTTAAGCACCTCCAGTGTTCGTGGATTATTGGAATACACTTTTGACTTTAGATAACCCCACAAAAAATAATTGCATGGCGTGAAGTCGGGTGACCTAGGAGGCCAGTGAATGTATCCGAACTTCAATATAACTTTTTGAGAATAAAGTGTTTTCACAGTGTCCATCGATTCTCTGGAAATATGGGCAGTGGCCCCATCTTGTTGAAACCATGTGTTTCTGATAAATCGACGTTCTGTTCTTACAATAGGAGCAAAAAAGGGTTAATCATGTCTTTGTATTGCTCGGACTGTCAATGCATGACCGTTTTCTTCTTCAAAGAAATTCGGCCCAATAATACCGCTAGAGTAGACAAACAGTCACCTTTGGACTATGTAGCTGTTGTTGATGTTTCTCTTTTGGGTTCGTTGGTGCCCAATATCTGCAATTTTGCTTGTTCACATAACAGTGTAAGTAAAAATGGGCCTCGTCACTGAAAACAACGTTCTCGAGTCTACGCTGCGTAGGAAAAAGATTCAACTTCCGTTCAGTACAAGATTTTCGTAATACGTAATCACTTTGCTTTAAAGCATGGACTGACTGGATTTTATAAGGATAAAAACCCAGTTTTTTCTTTATTATGCCATGCAGTGCTGACCTAGGAATTCCCAAAGCAGCGGAATGCTTCCGTTCAGAACGCCCAGGATTTGCAATGACCGAATCACTTACCCGACGCACATCTTATTCGGTTTATACAGTAGCTGTGGGGCCAGGAATGGGTTGACTAAGAGTAGAGCCTGTTTCACGGAACCTCTTAATCCACATTTTCAATATGTTCTTACTCTTAAAGTAAGCTTCGATAGCAAAGGCAAGTTGCGCTCCGCTCCAACGTTCCATTGTGACTGTTTAACCCGCACGCCGACTGCGTCAATCCGGACCTCTCCCCACTTCCTCGCGTATACGGTTGCCGCGTAATTCAAATTTGAAATGTAAACTTTCCCACTGGACACCTTGTAGTTAGGGAAACTTTCATGAGAAACACGTCAGTGGATTCTGAGCTATAGAGTGAATACAGTGGTCTCAGTTAATCAAATGTTAGAAGTGAGTAGCTGTGTTTGAAGTTTCGTTTCTATACACAAACCTATTTTCAAATACATTGTGTATGAATTCAGATTTTGAACAATCGCACCCTCCTGTTTAAAATTCAAATATCACTTGTCCGGAAAATACCATCTACAACTGTGTTAACAAACGTCAAACAGCTCGATCGTCAACGCTGGTTTGCGTTCAGATTAGACACTGCAAAGGAACAGGGACTTAAGAAAGGACTGTTTATGGACCGTTAAATGTTGGCTTATCTCAAGTTGAAACTGCGGAAAATGAATGCATGAATGAATCTTCGCTGCGAGGCAAACTGCGGAAAACCAACATATATTTTGCTACAGGACAGTCGTACAACATCAAACATAGTAAACAATTAACATAGTCGCCCAATACCTACTAGCAGCCAGCAGGAAATTCAATAGACATAAATTAAATTTTACACACTCAGTAATAAGAACTGCACAAGATAATTTCAACACAAGTAAAAATGATTGACTCTCAGCACAGTGGGCAGGGGTCAGCTAGTTGCTGAAGCTAACATTTCCAAAGAATGACTTATGATGGGTTCACAAATATAATTTACCCTTTATCCTTTGCATGCACATCAGCTCCATGCTGCAATAGAAGTTGTACAATCCTGTGTCTATTGTATCCGGCAGCTAGGTGTAAAGGTGTTGATCTTCTACCATCACTTGCATGGCAGTTGACATTCAAAGGAGTTAAAAGTGATAAAAGCCTATCTTCTGCTCCCGACCTAGGAATAAACACGACACTATCAACTCGGATTGCATTTTATATAAACACATCTACATATATTGTAAAAAACAATTTAAATGCTGTTTCTATTTTAAATATTAAGAATGCTTGATAAAAGTTTACTTTCAAAACCACAAGTAATTAACCAAGCTTGATTTCAGTTCAAATTAGAGTTAAACAGCAACGGGCCTAAGAAATGTCAGAATGTCTTTCTACCAAGCCTATTAGTTTGCAAACAAATAATTGTTAATCTACCCCTTTGATCAAAAATATTTGACGCGTTGTATAGGTTGAACTGGTCCATTTATTTGTGTAACTATTTAGACTATTCCTTTCATCTTTCTAAAGTGGCAAAATAGTAATCTAAAATAAATCACCTAGCAGCCTCTAACAGTTCATCTTTCCTATATTCTCCAGTCAGTACAGGTCGAGTAGATGGATCAGCTACCTCAAGTGGTGTTTTGCCTTCTGTATTCCTTATATTCACATCTGCTCCATGTTGCAGAAGAGCTACAATATAATGAACACCTTGTTGTTACCATACTTGAAAAAAATAGCTGCTATATTTAGTATAAGATAGTAGAAGATATCATACCATGTCTTCATGCATCTTTTAAAATCATTATTTGTAGGAAGAAATGCTTGATTCCACATTAATATTTTTATGATAAGATAGCCGTGTCCAATTTGAAAGGCCAATCGTAATTGTTAATACATATTGGAAAGCCATGTATGTTAATCAAAGGTCAGTTTATACCGTTATGAATTCAAAATAATGAAAAATCAATGTTGCAAGGTGAATTTCTACTCAACAGGATAACTATAATGCAGTTCTGCTTGGATAATGTACAAATGGCACTTTCATAACCATTAAAATATAATACGATAATTAGTTCATTAATACTAGATAACATGTTAAAACCCGTGTAGATCATTCATAAAAATTAATGAATTGTAGCAAACAAGAAGTAATTAAAACAATGCATGGATTTCAGGAACTGGTAATAACTATAAACATTATGTTTAGATTAATGAATGTACTTGTTATGCATGAAGTAGAGATACTGGTAAATTTATAGTATAAAAACTTGCATTGATACTATTGATTGTTCAAGCATATTATGCTGACACTGAATATTGCTGATCAGTTATACAAACCAATACCAATTTCAACATTACCTTCTTTTTTTAAAAATGTGATTTAAAGGTTCAAAATATCAAAAATTTTATACCTAATGAGAAATTAGATAATATATGATTATGATGGAAATATGAAAGTACCTATATACAGCGTCGCGTAAGTACTCGAACCTCCCATTTGCCATGTTTGTCTGGAAACATTCAAACTTTTGCAGACAATGTGACAACTCAAGCATACCTTCCCATGCTTCCACACATTTCAAGACGAAAGGCCCATTATAATGGCTGTAAAAGCATATATCATGCTCCCAGACAACATTAAAAGTGCACCCAATTTGTTAGCTTTTAAGAGAGCCACTAATGAGTATCTGTTGAGGGCAAGCTTGTATGATTTTAACTTTAATTTTAATGTGTAATATAGTGAAGATTTGACATGTTTTTGTCTTGATCTCAATTTTACTTTGAGCTTACTTTAGTATAATATCCTGTTCCACCACCTCTGTGGACATCTATGTTTTGACGTTGCTATGTCGTTGTAATTAAGATTTAGTCAGTATTAAAGGAATTTGAATTGAACAGTTTTTTCTTGCGTTTCATCCAGTCAGGTTCTATCACATGAGGAGTGAACATCAATCTCTCTGTGAGGGTTGTTAACTTGTCACTTCCACACACACAAATTCGCGTTGAAGTGACGAATTTCCCGCTACCTGACAAACATTCCGGTAAGAGAAGACTGAAGGGATTATATTGATTCCAAAACAAAATTCAAGAGGGAAGATTGCATTTCATTGTCCATTCACTTTTGTGACAGGAAAGAATGGCATGATTAAATGACAATTAAGGTATGTAGGAATCCCTGTGCACAAAGCAAGCTTGGGGCCTACAGCTCAGAGAAAAATACGGAGCCCTACTTTGCCATTGGGGAAAATGAAACAGCGTTGGCGGGGGAAATATCGTGTGCCCATAGGGTAAATCTGGAACAGATTACACGAAACGCCGCTCGGGAACGGGCTATTGCTGACGTATACATTTATGAATATGAACATAGACAAATACTAAAATGATCATCAGTTACCTATGCACACATCAACCTTGCCCTTGATAGCTGCCTCATGAAGTGGTGTATAGTTCCAATTATCCCTGGTATTAGGATTAGCCCCAGCTTCTAATAGTAATCTAACCACATCTGCATGACCAAAAGAGCATGCATTGTGTAATGGGTGCAAGCCACCATCATCTCTGGCTTGTATTGAGGCTCCAGCTGAAAGGAGGAATTCCACCACATCTCGTCTACCATAACCTAGAAGGAATAAAAAATGTATCAGATACTAAGGCGATACCTATGTCACCATCAAGAAGTTGAGGCCCTCATTTTTGTGGGAGTTTCAGAAAAAAATGACTCAGCACGAACATTTTCGGAAATATTTGTTTCAGTGCAGTAAGCCCAAATACTATGAACTGTACTTAAAATCTACTACTGGGATCCTGTATTGATCTCAGATAACTAGCTGCAACTAATAGCACAGTTGTCAGTGACATAATGTGACCATTTATTTTTGGAGGAAGTATTTCCAAGCAAATTGCTATTTTGTTGAAGTCATTCATTGTTGCATGGTGTTAGCTTCGCGAGATTTTCTCATAATATTGATTGCAAGATTCAAAACGCCCCATTATGAGTTTGTGGGTGGATGTGCTTGAGGAAACGGTATGCTTCCCTCAGGTGATACTGTGCCTTTCTGGTTTTAATGCGGTGTCATCTTAAATTTATAATCCATTGTTGCAATACACTGTATAGGAATGAAGGTAATGAAAAAATAATAAACTGCCACCTGGAAGACTGATAAACAAAAATATACTGCCACTAAATGTAATTATACTTGAAAAAGGCCACTGTGGTGGTTGAAACATCCTACAATAAATAGGAATTTAATCATGTGTGGTATGATTCAGCCAAACAATGGAGTCCTATGAGCCTGAAAACTACAGAATAGGTTTTAAGAGTTACAGGAATGATGATGTTTTGGTTATGATTAGATCTAGTCTGAACTACAAAAAGATTGCTGTTAGTGATGTATCCATATGTATTATGTATATGCTGATTGGAAATTCATCTTCTAGAATTATCTCTTTATAGACCAAATCCTAGTAACTTTACAAATTTCACTGATGCACCTGATGCATATCTAGAGCAATCAGATCAGTGTTAACAATACATTGATTAATGACATTATTAATAGAAATCTTATGGAAAAATAGGGTAAGTATGAACATATATCTTATAATGCTAGCTAGATATGGTCTTATACCATATATTTTGAATACTACAAGTGTACTGGGGGATACGCAAATGTGCAATAATAACTATTTCTTGAGGAAAACTTCTTCTAATAAACAGAAATTTAATTATGTTTTAAATTCTAAATTATGAAATGTTACATAACAGATCATTATCCAGTCCCATTAAATATATATGCAGTGAGCTTAACAATACTCATTCAAATCATCTTCCTATTGGGAAAATTATCCTTAAGATAGACTTTGTCAGACTGAAACAGTTTTTGGTGGATTAAAACTGGAGGCAATATACCAATTCTGATAATCCTCAGGTGGCATTTGCTTTTTCAAGAAATTGGAAAACTGCATTGCTAATGCCTCACATAATATTCAATTAACAAAAAAAAACATACCAAATGAGTTAATCATATACAGGGTGACTTTGAAGTTGAGTCATTAATTTTCAGATAATGATTGTAGAAGGAAGATAAACCAGAATATGTGTGTAAAAATAAAAAAAATAAAAAAAAAATTTTACCTTGTTTTATAAAGTATCCTCCCGACAAGTATTTCAGTGCGGACCTGTATTTGATCGTGAGGTCCCCTGTGAGGTCTTAAGTCACCTGATTCACGAGCCCGTTGTACTTCATTAACAAAGGCACGAGGGGTTGGTTGCACTCGATTGGGAAACCGATCCGCATAAACATGTGCCATTTTTTATTTCGTTTGAGCCACGCAACAGAAACTATTCACACGCTAACCGACAGATACTGACTGTATGTATAACTGAACTGAATAAAACACTTAATTGCAAAAACGTCGTTCCAAATTCTTTCGCTTTTTTGTTTCCGATGCGATGAACCGGTAAGGCGGATTATATCCGTTGTTGCCAAACACGAGTACATGATATTATTATTGAGACAGGGCGGTACTCAAACTTCCAAAGGGCTATAACTTTGTTACTTTAATTTTACCAGAAAAATGGTAAAGGAAAAAACATTTCTTTTGATCAGATCTACTCACTGTTAAAATAAATGACTCAACTTCGAAGTCACCCTGTATATATTAGGTATAGGGATATGATAAGAAACAAACTAAATAGTCATGTTTCCCTTCGACTTATAACAAAAGTACAGGAATGATTTACGTACACTAAGTATTGAAAAACAGGTATTATATGATGTTTCAAGAAAACAAAAATAAACAAAATCAAAGATACATTTTTAAAACCAACATTTTATATAGGTGTTAATAAAGCATACATAATGAGGGTAATGTTGACTGCATTCACTAGCACTTAGTAAATGAATCTTATTGATGTCTGGAGTATGCTTTAGCAAGTCATGTTCATTGTCAATAACTGTCATTGTATTTACGATAACATTCAGCCAATCTTAGGCAAACTCCTTAGCTGCTGTCCAGTATCCCATTTGGGTTGTTCACAGTAATTCTAAATATGCTAGCAAATGCATTAGCTTCTTATGTTCTAAAATAGTGGGAATAACAAAAATGACAAACAATATATCAAGACTGTCAAATGTTAAGACATTGCAACCACATAAAAACATCTAGGGTTATAATTTGACTGTATTAAAACCTTAATATTTTTTATCATTCAGCACTTCCGTCTGAGCATGCGCAGTAAAGAAAACGTGTTCTAGCAAGGTTAGAACCTAGTTGGCGATTATCGGTCGACTATTTCAGCAAACCAATCTTTGGTTTGAAAACTGGTTACAGGCAGTCAAAACAGTACATAGGATTTTGTTGGGATTCGGGGTTTGTAACATGCGCAGATCGCACATGATCATAATGTTTATGTTATGATTTGTGGTATTGTGGTTATAATTTAATCAAATGGAGACATGGCAGATTTTTCAAGTTCAAGTTCAGAGTCGGACTGGATATCAGAAATCGATTCTACGGATGATGAAGATATTCTAGACATGATGCTTCATAATCACAAAAAAAAATATAAATGATGATTACTAAAACGTAACCGTGCATCTATATACTGAAAGTGAGTTCAGAGAACATTTTAGGTTTAGTCGCAAACTGGCCGAAGATATCTCAACTAAATATGAACACAACAACAACAAGCAGACTGGCGGTAATGGAAAGCTTCCTGCTTATGAAGACACACTCATATTTTTGTGGTTCGCGAGACAGGAAACATCATCGTTTCGTGATGTAGCTGACAGATTTGATATCACGATTAGTTGTTTATTCCACATAATAAGACGTAGTCAAGTTTATAAGCAGTATACCTGAACTGTAATTCAATGGCCTAACAATGAGGAAAAAATCATAATTGAGCAACATTTCAGAGATAAAGGGTTTCCAGATGTAATAAGAGCAATAGACGGAACTCATATAAGGATTGATAGGCCAAAGGATGATCCTGATTCATATCTGAACTCCAAGCACTTTTATTCCATCCAATTAATTCAAAAAAACGCATCTATAGTTTCATGATTAAGATAGTTTTTTTTTAGGTACAAGCTGTTTGTGATAATCGAGCACAAATCCGAGACATCTTTATTGGATACCCTGGATCAGTCCATGATAGGCGAGTATTCAAGAATTCACCACTATTTCCAGTACTGCGTGAAAACTGCCAACAGTATTATATACTGGGTGATTGTGGCTACCCATGTACAAGACATCTCCTAACACCACATAAAGATCATGGAAACCTGATGAGGATTGAAAAAAACTTGAATTTGAAGTTAGCTAAAAATCGATATGTGATAGAGCACTGCTTTGGCCTAATGAAGCAGAAATGGAAATTTTGAATAATGCTGCTACAGATCACAGGAATTTTGTGGCTAGGCATATTTTGATGTAGTATAATCAGCTTTTTTACTTGAACCTAAAAGCACATTCCTAAAGGGGAATGGGTTTGAATAAATTTTCTTTGAAAGCATTAGACTCTGTCATTTATTTCTTTTTTCATGCCAATCTGAAGTGGCAATGGGCACAACTACTGAGATACTCATTTTCAAAAATTACCAAGCTTCAAAAGTGCACATCTCTAACACAGGAAAATAAGAAACTTCCATAAGGTTTATGCATCTTAAGTTGATTCCCTGACCAAAAATATACACTTTCGAAGCTTGATAACTCATTAAGGTCTCTCCAGGACATTTTACTTTCAACAACTACATCTAAAATCTTTGTATAATTGATGTTGAAATCTTTTGTTTTGCACCATGTAGGTTTTTGAAGATCTTCTGAATTATTCAAGTTTGTTCTGTTGTTTACTTAATACTGTAAATGTACATACATTCATCTTTTAGATTAAATAAAAAGTATTTTTAAATAGTGTATCAGTATTTTAATTTTCAATAATGCAGAATGAACTAAAATACTAATCCCAATTTTACATTCATTCATCACAGAAATAAAACTTAACATATATATTTCATTATAATAACTACAAACACAAACAATAATGCACATAAACACAAGATAACACACAACACAACTACCATTAAGTATCCATTTTGTCAGGGGATCTATTATTTGTTTTTCAATATTTCATTTCTTTCTTCTAAAACCTCAACTTGTTTATTTTTTATTTGTAATTTCTGTTTTTGCAGTTCTAATAAGGAGTCTAGTTTGTATTTTCCCAATTTCAGTCTCTCCTCTTGGTATTGTTTTCGGTCTAATTGTATTTACTCCAGAATGTTTTCTTTTTAATATTTTATTACTTTTTGCTGCATAACTTTAGCTGCAGAAATCCCAAGCACTTGTTGGTGTTTCCTGATTTTCAATCATTTCTTCCATGTCCTGTGCCTCATTTTCATTATTTGGTCGAATCTCACCTACAATGAATGGCCAGATGTGGTAAAAAAGAAATCAGTCTACATCAATATTGAATATATTCGAATAATAGTGCTCTAATACTTAATGTTGGTGCCATTTAAATAGCCCCCAAGAAAGCTCTAAAGTCCTTAACTGTGAAAGTGAAGGAAAAGTTTGAGTAATTGATATAACATTTCTACAAATACTTAATGATGGAACAGTTTGTTACATTAAGTACATAATTTTTGAACAACCTGTTTTCGTTTTTCATGCCCCTTGAATCCATTACATTCTTTGGACCATATATGGAGACAGTGTAGATTTATATGTATATGCAGCTTACCTGATGTGGTCAGTAGAATTTCTGGATTTATATTTGTCCATCTCTTCCGCAAATTCAAAGTATTTTCTGCCACATCCAGTACTGGAATTATTTTCCACATTACGCTTATAATTTCTCTCCAGCACCCGCCGACGATTTTCGAAGTTTTGGGGTGTGTATTTTACGTTATACTCTCTCTTCATGTGTTCTGATATTGTATCCCACATTTTTTTTAGGCTTTTCATTTCCATCCCACCTACTTTACTTCTGAATATTTTGTAATATTCAATTAACATTAGTGTGTGATGTCTTGTCCAAGATGGTGTCCCACCAGTTACATCTCTGTTTGCAGAAAGTACCAGAAATTCTGAGAGATCTATAAAAATGTCAAGTATAAGTTTGATAAACCCTCATATCTATTATTTACACTTACCAATGTCACCACTAACATCTGAGAATATTTGATTTTGCTCATACATGATGCAAAACAACTACAAAATCAACTTTCAAATATAAATCACTAAATCCTAAACGCAGATGCAATACAAAACATACTGAGATGCAAATGCAATTCAAACCTCATGAAAATGAAACGGGAAAGGCACATAACAAGAATGTCATCTACGATGCTGTCACTATCAAGTCAATCATATTTTGACAGGAAGAAGTGTTCTGGCAGAATTCAATTTGTAACCATTTGAAACCAGTCTTCTCACCATGGATGCGTGTTGAGGGAGTCCACAACCAGGTGTCAATACATTGGAAATGTCAAGTCATCGTTGGTTGTCAGAGCGGTCCGTGGGACCTTAGCTCTTGAGTCACAGTGTCAGTTTGTAAGTCTGTCAGGTCTGGTAACCCCATTGGAAATGTGATGCCAGAACATATCTATTATAGTGTGAAGCTCTTATCCCTAAGGACATGAGGAATATACATGTACATCTAACCTAATATGTATTATTATGTATTGAATACAAAAAAAAATCAATATAAATACAACTTAAAAGGACATACATTCTTCCAATTAAATCCATAATGATTGGTAATGAAGTGGATATTATTATAAGATATATCTACACTTTCTTAAATCTGATTATAAGCAGTTTCTGCGAATTTGATAACAAAATATGTAGCTCATAAAGGAAATATTGCAACTATAGATAGGTACACTACATAAATTGCATATGAATATAAAAATCCAAAGCAAACATAGCAAAAACTAAAATATGGTCCAACACTTGTTTTGTGTTATACTACTGTTTTGGAAACCACCCCCTGGGCTAGGTGACCCCTTAGTTAATTAAATAGAATTATACTATAATATGTATAAGTGAGCACCATTAGAGTCCTCATTTCTAGAAAAAAGTTATCGAGGATGATCTGATATTATTCAACAAAAGAGATCATAGAAGTATAACAAAACTTACCAGCTGCAAAATGCAAGGGGGTGGACTTCCTGCCAGCTGTATCTCTGGCGTTGACCGTGGAGGGAGTGACCAGTTTCCTGACTCTGGCGATGTCACCAATCTTGCAGGCCTCGAACAGCTCCCTCAGAGGGTCGCTGGCGCTAGGTAGTGAATCCATCGACGTCTTCAGAATGTCCCGTCGGGTAGCCATTCCATCAAAATACTTTGATTCACCAGATCATCATCCTGATCAGCTCTAGTCCTTATTCCACCTTCCCGATTAGAAAGTTGCACACCGTTTTGTAATTAATCGATTCGGTTGAGTCATTCTTACAACATTTTTTGTTTCTGTTTTGTGTTTGTCGAGCAGTCTGTTCGATCTTGCTCCCACTTCAATACCCAAAAGAGGAGGCAGACAGAAACGCAAAGGGGGAGGAAATTTGACAACCCGATTTGACAGTTCTCCAAAACACAACTTATCCACACTTTTATTGCCTGGCTAATGAATATACAGATGGCGCTGCTTGGAGCTGCTAAAAGATTGTTCTCTTTGAAAAAGCCCTGAAAAACCGGTAACGAGGATTTTCATGATACATACCTATATTACTTCTGCTTCCATACGAAACTACACAATCCATCAATAAATATAACACTTCAAAAGAAAATAAGAATTTTTACAGTGTACTTTGAGTGAAGTAACTGTACGTGTAATAATCTCGTTTCGCTGCTGCTTTCATCTATGTAAACGTAGATGGCACTGCTTACTGATGTCATTCATAGAAATCCTTCATGATTCATGACAGATGTTTGAATTTGAATTGTGTTAACTTTTGTAATCGTTTGGAAATATTTTTCAAAATTTCTAGTAAGTTGCACATTGAATAGTTCCATGAACATCATACAAATCAAAACATTAAAAATGCACGATGATAACAATTAATATCTGGGTGGATTACTTCTTTGCTGTACTACTTAGAGTTGGATTATGGGCGTTGTTTTTGTAAGTAGTACTTCAAATTCTGTAGTAGCAAATAACTAAATTCATTTTTTGAACTATTTTCAGGGAATTAAATAACTTACCTCCAGTCATTAGACATATAGATGAAGAAGAGCTATGGTACTATCGATATCCATCATTGGATAGTTATGTTCCAACCCTTTACTTGTACTTCATAATGATACTTGTACCAGCTTTTATACTTTTTATGCACTACTTATGCAGTTATAGAGAAGAAAGGACGATGGCCGATATAATAAACTGCGTCAATGGGCTTACACTTGCATATTGCCTTAACGGGTTGTTTTCAAGCACAATGAAACTGACCATAGGAAGGCCAAGGTGGTACTATAGTACATTACATACCTAGTTTGAGAATGTACCATTATTGGGCAAGCACTTTTATAACCTGATGTGCGTAGTACATAAGGATATAATGAGACGGGCGTCAGGTTATAACGTGCGAGACGAATAATGAAACGAGGCATGTATAGATTTTTTTTCACAACTAATAACACTATGTATTATGGAATATTTGATCAGGATATAATATCTACCATGTATTCAGCTTTAGCGTTTTTCAGAAAACAATTTGTTTTACTCCAAACCCTTACCGCAACCACCAAAATGCTCTCTTTTAGCAGTCATCAGCATCCGTATCCTGTCGCAATGCTGTATCGCCTCATAGAGTGTGTGATGGTTGCGCCTGAGTTCAGAGGTCATGCGACGCACACATTTCTTCAATATTTTTTTCCGTATGCCTCAAACATATTGAAAAACACGGTCATGCTATGTTAAAGTTTTCTAACGGGTAAATGTTTTCTGCGCTATTTTGTAAAATTCATTATATCCATAAAACTTTTATTGTTTTCACTCTACAAGCCGGAAATTTTAAGCTAAGCATGTAAATTTGGCAACAAAAAGCACAACAGAAATAGTTGCCAATTTTTTAGGAAAAACATTACATCCCTTTCAATATTGCCTTGATGCACAAACATTTTGAAAAAGAAATTTTGAAAATAAAACTAAAATACCATTTGTTTGTCTTGCCGCTAAATGAAACCACATATACAGGAATTGTCCGAAAAGTAATAGGACTCGTTTTCTTCCGCCGTTACCGTACTTCGTAGCGTGCGCGAACCGACTGGATTCGGTAGAGGGCGTTCCTAGCTAACGAATGAGCGGCTGATGGTCAGTTGTCTCCGAGCACTTGGAGAGTCACTACATGCATTTTCGCGCGACGTGTTTCTGTGAGTGATGCAAGCCGAAAATGCAGCGTTCGTTAGAGCAGAGGCGATTAAATTCTGTGTGAAACTCGGTAAATCTGCAACAGAGACGTTTGATATGATCAAGCAGGCTTACCCAGGTGTTGCTTTAGCAAGAAGTGGTGTGTTTCGGTGGCACCAGGCCTTTTTGTAGGGCCGGGAAGAGGTCGCTGATGAAAACCGTGCTGGAAGACCTTCGACTTCGACAAACACCGATAATGTGACTCGTGTGCACAAAGTTTTGAACTCAGACCGTCGACTAAGTATTCGTTTAATTGCCCAGATGTTAAATTTACCAAAATCTGACATTGTGACACAGCATTTGAGCATGCGCAAGGTGTGCGCGAAGATGGTCCCAAAAGTGCTCACTGACGACCAGAAATTGCGGCGAATGGAAGTGTGCCAAGAAAATTTGAACATGTGTGAAAGTGACCCCCAATTTTTGAATAACTTAATCACAGGTGACGAGTCGTGGATCTTTGAGTATGATCCCGAGACAAAGAGGCAATCTTCCAAGTGGCACACGACGGCGTCTCCTCGCCCAAAAAAGGGAAGAATGAGCAAATCCAAAGTGAAAACGATGCTCATTGTCTTTTTTGACATCAAAGGCATCGTCCACTATGAATTTGTTCCTCCTGGACAAACCGTCAACGCCAAGTTTTACGTGGAAGTGCTCAGGAGACTCAAACGAAGGGTCAGTCGGGTCCGACAAGACATCGCAGCCGACTGGAAGTTGCACCACGACAACGCCCCGGCTCACACCGCCTTTCTTGTGAACAGCTACCTGACCAAGGCCGGCATCCCAACGCTTCCGCAGCCGCCCTACAGCCCAGATGTGGCCCCCTGGACTTTTTTTTGTTTCCTCGCCTGAGAAGGCCGATGAAAGGCAAGCATTTTGAGACGACAGAGGGGATCCAAGTAGCATGCATCGCGGCTCTCAAGGCTATTCCGGAGAATGCCTTCCGTGACGCTTTCAACGCTTGGAAATCGCGCTGGCAGCGCTGCATCGACGCAGAAGGAGCCTATTTTGAAAGTTTTTAAAGATTTGTAACGATTGGCTCAATAATTTTTTTTTAATCGACTCAGTCCTATTACTTTCCGGACAAACCCTGTATGCTTCAAATACTGTTTATTGGCAACCTTTCGACCACCGCACGGTGGCTTTTTTCGTATATAAATGACAATTCTCATCACAAAATGTAGTTTGTTCATCTGTGTTCGTTTGTTTTTTCCTTTTAGCAAATTGCTGTAAAATATGACATGGGCTTTGCATACTAACACGGATTTAAGAGATTCCATTTTTCATGGCTTCCGCATAGATCCGGCTGAATTTGGGCGAAGGTCGGGGTTATGTTAATCTTGACGGGATTGGTGGATTGGATCACCTTATTGATATCAAAAATCTGCGATTCCAAAAATTCCACAAAAAAGTGTAATTTGGTTAAATTGCATAATCACAATTCTACACGTTCACTGTCCAAGTACGATGACCCGACATGCAAGATATCCATGACTATATCGCTCAATTTGGACAATAAATTCGACAAAGTAGATTGATTTCATACACGGTCTTTTACCTTCACAGCTTCGTTCAAAAAAGGACGAAACCTGACTGGGTATTTTCACTATATCGCATAGCCGTGAACCTCAATCTCAAACTATAGAAAATAAATCATATTCTGTCCCAATTGCCAATATTTGGAAAATATGTATGACTTATGATTAATTATATAAAAGTCTTTCACTGATACCAAAGTTGCCATATGTATAACAACCCCCCACCCTCTACAATTACCAGTTTTCAACCTCTCCAAAAATTGTCTACGAATAAGCTGCTGTGAGGATCCCAAAGAAATTTTGTAAATCCGATATTTGAACTGCTTAAGTTTAGTAGAACTGGGAAAAGCTTCCTCTTGTAGATTGTTCTATAATCTAGACACCCTCGGGACAAAGGAGCGGTCATATCGGCCAATCCTGGATGTACGAAGTTCGACACGGTTAGGATGGGGGGCCAAAATCAGGAGGGTCTGTTTGGCAGGCACATCGCGCAGCGTGACACAGCTGACCGAATGCTTTCGTGATATCAAGAGCAACGACATGAGCCTCACTATAAGACTGGATGAGTTTACTCCACAAATGTGTGACGTAACCCTGGACGTCCCCTGTGGATCGCTGGTGCCGGAAACCATACTGCTTGTCGCTAATCAAGCCGTGACGTTCGAGGTAGTCCAGAAGCTCGCGGCTCATGCACCTCTCCATCACTTTACCTTTAACAGAAAGCAGAGCTATAGACCTGTAGTTGTAAGGGTCGGCCTTAGATCCTTTTTTTTGGGATGGGTTGGACATGAGCAAAATTCCAGTTTTATGGTAAGGTGCCGGATTCATAAGATATCTGGAAGAGACGCGAAAGAGCTGGAGCAAGCTCCGCTGCACACCTCTCCAATACAATGGCAGGAATCAGTTCCGGACCAGAAGCTTTGTTGTTGTCGAGCGACAAGGGCACCCATCTTACGGTGTTATGGCTGAATGTTATTTTCCGCATAGTGTCGGGAACCCATTGAATCGACGGCATATGGGCGTTAGGGGGGGACGTGTATGGTGGAGTTGGCAGCAAAGATCCTGGCAATCACTTTCGCCTTAGCCTTTGAGTCGGAAACAATCGTTCCATCCTGACACGTAAGTGGTGGAAGGCTAGTGTGTGAGAAGTTCCTTTCAATCTGCTTGGCCAGCGTCGAAAAAGACCGACTGCCATTGCCATTGCTCTGCGACATTACCCTGTGTCTAACTTTTAGATCGTGCTGGTCTTTGGCATGGCGAACCGCTTCGTTACGTTTGTTTCTGGACTCGATGTCGGCTTGTCTGTTCTCTACAGTGAAGTTTTGTAAGAAGGTTCTGTGTACCTTGATCTTCTGCGGGCAAGCGGTGTCACACGCTTTGTTGAACCAGTCGTCGGATCCTGATTTAGACACTTTCACTGTATGAGGGATGTATTCCTCTATCCCGACGTGGATAATTTCGGTTATTGAAGAATGGACAGCTGACGCATCCGCATCAGCGAAACCAACATCTCTCCAAGGAAAGGTAGAGAAGAAGTCTGTGAGCCCTTCCCAGTCGGCATGTCCGTAATGCCAAATTTTACGGCCTGGGCGTGTTTCTGCTGCCACTGCGGGTTCTGACCGAAACCTAGCCTCCACAGCACCGTGGTCTGAGTTACCCAGGGGGGACAGGACAGCAGTGCTGTAGGTGACAGGATGCGTAGTCAGAAAGAGATCTAGCAGGCTACTGGCATGTGACGAGTCGCGGGGGAAGAAAGTAAGGCTGGTCACCAGCTGGGTCAGCCCTTGAGTAAGACCGAACGCTTCCACTGCACGACCTGCTGCATCGGTCTTGTTTGAGCCCAACCAAAGCTCATTATGGGCATTGAAATCGCCGAGGAGAACGGGTGATTGATGTTCAGGAAGTCGATCTTGACGGCGAGGTATTCAAGTAAGTAATCCCAGTTATGATCCGAGGGAGAGCGATAAAGGCAGCAGTGGCGTAGCTACTAAGGGGCTAGGCGGGGCAGTGCCGAAATATATAAGGATTACACTATGCCTGAAACTGACCAACCCATTCGTTTGCCCTAATTGTAGTAGCATTAATGGTTTGGTTTGATACCACAATATTTGTGTCATCCTCGTAGCAGACACTTTTATTTGCAATTGGATATAATGCTTTCAAGTTATCTGTGAATATCAGGGATTACAGGACTGATTATTGGTCTATGCGGTACCTCAGTTCTGACTGCGATGGGCTCAGTGGACAATATCCATAACATTTTGTGTTCGGCTCGTGAGGTATGATTCCATTCATTGATGTGTTAAGCCCCGTGAACCGATCGTTGAAAGCTTTTCTGACATTATTTGCGCAAAAGTAGTAAGGTACCTACAATGATCTTGTCGGTTCAAATGCCATAGCTACCAACTTTTTGTGGATGCATTACCATCTGAAGTTGCGGATCTTTACTAAGAACAAAAAATCCACCCATATTCTGAAAAATTACATTTTTTCTACACAGTATCATAATAAAGGAGGTTAAAATATAGTTGATTGATTTCTTTACAGACCCAACTTCTACTTCCGATGCTTTCCAGATGGCTACGGTAGCGACCTGGACAAATGTGTCGGCGCATATCATGGTCAAATGGACGGCAGAAAAAGCTTTCCAAGTTCTCACTCATCATTCGCTTTCACTGGAATGATCTACATGATGCTGCACATTTGCAAATACTACGACTTTAGGAGGCCAAGAGCTTTCCGGGGCTGCATAGTTTACGTGGAAGTGCTCAGGAGACTCAAACGAAGGGTCAGTCGGGTCCGACAAGACATCGCAGCCGACTGGAAGTTGCACCACGACAACGCCCCGGCTCACACCGCCTTTCTTGTGAACAGCTACCTGACCAAGGCCGGCATCCCAACGCTTCCGCAGCCGCCCTACAGCCCAGATGTGGCCCCCTGGACTTTTTTTTGTTTCCTCGCCTGAGAAGGCCGATGAAAGGCAAGCATTTTGAGACGACAGAGGGGATCCAAGTAGCATGCATCGCGGCTCTCAAGGCTATTCCGGAGAATGCCTTCCGTGACGCTTTCAACGCTTGGAAGTTGCGGATCTTTACTAAGAACAAAAAATCCACCCATATTCTGAAAAATTACATTTTTTCTACACAGTATCATAATAAAGGAGGTTAAAATATAGTTGATTGATTTCTTTACAGACCCAACTTCTACTTCCGATGCTTTCCAGATGGCTACGGTAGCGACCTGGACAAATGTGTCGGCGCATATCATGGTCAAATGGACGGCAGAAAAAGCTTTCCAAGTTCTCACTCATCATTCGCCTTCACTGGAATGATCTACATGATGCTGCACATTTGCAAATACTACGACTTTAGGAGGCCAAGAGCTTTCCGGGGCTGCATAGTTGTTTTGACTGCGTTGCTGCCGCTCTCTGCTACTTTGATATCAGCTAGCAGAACGGCTGATTATCATCATCATTACTCAGGTTATTTCACTTATACAGGGTGACTTTGAAGTTGAGTCATTAATTTTCAGATAATGATTGTAGAAGGAAGATAAACCAAAATATGTGTGTAAAAATAAAAAAAAAAATAAAAAAAAAATTTACCTTGTTTTATAAAGTATCCTCCCGACAAGTATTTCAGTGCGGACCTGTATTTGATCGTGAGGTCTTGGAGCACCGGCATGCCGTCCATATGTGAGGTCTTAAGTCAAATGATTCACGAACCCGTTGTACTACATTAACAAAGGCACGAGGGGTTGGTTGCACTCGATTTGGAAACCGATCCGCATAAACATGTGCCATTTTTTATTTCGTTTGAGCCACGCAACAGACACCACTATTCACTACCGACTGACGCTGACTGTATACAACGGAATGAAATAATTTTAAAAACATCGTTCCAAATTCTTTCGCTTTTTTGTTTCCGATGCGATGAACCGATAAGGCGGATTATATCCGTTGTCGCCAAACACGAGCACATAATATTATTATTGAGACAGGGCGGTACTCAAACTTCCAAAGGGCTATAACTTTGTTACTTTAATTTTACCAGAAAAATGGTAAAGGAAAAAAACATTTCTTTTGATCAGATCTACTCACTGTTAAAATAAATGACTCAACTTCGAAGTCACCCTGTATATAGCACCCACGATATATTTTAAGATACGTCCGGCCAAGCCTAAATTGTTTAGGGCACACTCTTTGATGTTATACGGATGGTAAGTGGGCATCGTTGACGTCGCGCTGTTAAGGTTTCTATGGACACGACGTTTGGATAACGAATACGACGTCGCTTAGCACATAATGGGCGCTTTGTTAAGAGCAGAGCTCGCAGGGTATTTAGGAAAAGTTTTTACTTCGTACTGACATTTATCGCTTTTGATACTGAACTAAATCGTGTAATCTAAGAAATCTCCGGCATACGGCTATATAAAAGCTGCTCAGCTGGTGCCATCTTAAAGGTTTTACGAACAATTTCTGTTCCCATAAAATTATAAATCACACTTTTCGAGGGTGACTTTTTTAACTTAATGAAAAGAGAGGTTATTCGCAAAGCCTCTATAATTACATTTATGACTCAATAGGCATGTGTAAGATCAATTATACATATTCGTTAAGTCTCACCAAAAGTATCGTTTGCAGTATGTTACTAACATAGGCATATATAATAACTTTAACATATCTAACGATGTTAACAATAATACATAATGGCTTTACATCTCAGTGGGATGAAGAGTCCCACCCTGATGACGGTGTTATTCTCAAAACGTGGAATAAATTGTCAGCGGACTCAACGCGAATGGTCCCATAGAAGGAACCTGAAGAACGAAGTTACGTGCTCATATAACATACCACCTTGATCAAAAAGTTCCCGGAATTTATTAAAGAAATAAAGAGTACAAGTTTAATGTTCAAAATTGATAATGTCCCCTTCAAAGTAGTCCCCATTGACTGCAATGCGGTTATGCCAACGCTTGATCCAGTCCTCGAAACATTTTTTAAACTCAATGTTAAGTATCTCTATTAGGGCCATCCTCGATTTTTCCATTATCTCCTCTCGGCTGCTGAAACGGGCTCCTCTCAGTAGCTTTTTGATTCGATTGAACAAGAAGTCACAGGGGGCTAAATCAGGTGAACTGGGTGGTTGTTAAATGGTATTCGTGTTGTTTTTGCCCAAAAACTCACGAATAATGATGACATTGTGCGATGGTGCGTGATCGTGGTGCAAGATCCACGAGTTGTTTGCCCACAAACGCCTGCGTTTTTGACGGATTGATTCACACAAGCATCTCAAAACACCCAAATAGTACTCCTTGTTGACAGTCTGACCTTCTGGCAAGAATTCACTAGGCACCAGGCCGTCGTAATCCATGAAAACCGTGAGCATTACCTTCTTTTTCGACTAGAAACAACGCGATTTCTTCGGTCTCGGTTCATCCGGCGCGCGCCATTCACTCGCCTGATGACTTGACTGCGTGTCGTACTCATAAACTCATGTTTCGTCTCCAGTCAAGATGCGTTTGGTAAATGTTGGGTCAGAATCAGCCATGGAAATCATGTCTTTGGCGATATCAACACGGTAATTTTTTGCATGAAATTCAAGTCTTTTGGCACCAACTTGGCTGCAATACGTCGGAGGCCCAAATCGTCGACCAAAGTGCTTTGAACGGATCCATAAGCAATGCTCAAGTCCTCTGCCATCTCTCTTATACTTAATTTGCGGTTGGTGACCAACCTTTTCTTCACTTTGTCTACGTGTTCTTCTGTTTTCGATGTCGATGGCCTGCCGCTGCGCTCATCATCGGCGATAGACTGACGACCTTCTGTGACCTGTCGAAAACGGCTGTTTTCTTCAAAGCATCGTCGCCGAAGCATTTTCCTAGCATTTCCTTGGTTTGCATACCGTTGATTCGATTTTTAACGCAAAATTTAATGCAAACGCGTTGTTGTTCATTCAGATCCATTTTAAAAATCCTAATAAATCGTGAACACGCTTAAAGCACATGTACTCAACTCGACGTAGCTTTGACAACTGATAATCACATAACTGATAATGAAATGACGCCAAAATTCGGGGGGAATATCAGCAAACGTTGGGCACCATAACAAGACAAACAGAATTGACAGCCGAGTACTACGAGCGCCACACGGAGACCATTCCGGGAACTCTTTGATCAAGGTGGTATATACACTGAGTTCAACGCTGCGCTAAGAACGCTACGTTCATTTAGCGTCTGTATTAGGAGCCATTTAGTGACATTATACATTATAAACGTTCAGAATGTACTTCGCTTACTATCTATATAAACTTTTGTTCGGTTTGAAACACGGAGAACAGGGTCCATGTTTAGATGTTATCCCGATATTACCGATGCTACATGCACGGAGTCATCGATACGCTGTGAAGGCAGTCTTTACGGCTATGATGACCGCTACATTGTCATTCATATAAGTGTGAAAAGTGTGTATCAACACATGTTAGACATAGATAGGAGACGGCTGAAGAGCGAAGTCACCACCACATTGCCTAGCGATGGTGACGCAGAAGGTCGTGCAATCTGCCTGCGCCAGAAAATGTTCGCACAGAGGCTTCTACAATAGGTTAGGTTACTCTCAAATCCAAGAGGAAGGTCTGTTCGAAGATTTAATTCAATATTTTCATTTCATTTTGATTAGAATTATTGATTTCAATTTTGATGCAAATTAATATTTTAATTTATTTTAGAATTATCTTTGATTTCCACTGATTGTGATAAAATCAGCACATCCTGAGTTATTCGTACATTTTGCAACAGCGAGGGGTCGGAAAATGTAACAAATACCATTACGCAATACAAATTAACACTGCCTGCGGGTACGCAGGTGAAAACCTTTTTAAAGCAGGCGACGCTCCGCAATGAGCGCTAGATATGGGTACTGCTCAAAATCGGTCATCCAAGACCATGGATGTGGAAACCTTGCCTTGGAATGTACGAGATGCGGTGTTGCCGAGCAAACCAATGATGCAGTGTTGCAGAATTTGTAGCGAACCTGACCTTTCTTTTCGACCTAAAATGAAGCGCCGGAATCGATCCTAAGCAGATTCGACACAATTCAAATTTAAAAATGTGTACGCTCAAAATAAAACCATTACTTGGGCGTAGGGAATAAACTAACGCATATTTTCAACATGCATCTTAATTCAAGGAAGTGGTGTAACGGTGGCAACGCGGCAGATTCCCGCGTCCGCGTTGCTAGGCAACGCGGTGCTGAGCTTCGCTATCCAGCCAGCTTCTACTTCTTTCTAGCATGTGTCTATACACACTTTGTCTCTTGTACACATTGAACTTAAGCCTCACAAATGATGGATTGACTTTTGACTGACGTTTCAGCCACCTTTGGAGGTCGAGTGCTTTGAAAAAAAGTTAAGTAAAACATATATGTAACGTGTTTCACAAAAAGGATTTAGCTAGCTCAATCAGCAATGCCAGGACTTCACTGACTTTGAACGAGGAGTTCAATGATTCAAGATCAACTTTTGCTTTTTAAATGAAGTGCCCCCTTTGTGGCTCTGCAAATCGAAAGATCAGAAAATTCTAATAGTAAACGAGAACCTATTATAACAAACGTTCCCAGCTGAAGGAAAAGTTGACAATGACTTTGAACGTGAGGTGAAAGGTTGAATCCAATATTACCATTGAAACCTTGGTATAAGCTATTAAGAAAGAATTTCCTGGTCAATAATCTTGTTAAACTTCTAGGAATTTTCTATAGTCTCACGCATTCGATCTTAGATTTTAAGACATAAATTTAATGTTTGCCGTCAAAAGGGGGCCTCTGGGGCCTACCATTTAAAAAACAAAGGGTCCATAAATTAAGTGATGGGACTGATTTGTTTGTTTTATTCAAATATGGTTATAATTTTATATTGTAATTCTTCCTTTTAAAGTCAGACAGCGCTGGAGACTGTTCTTCGATTCCTCATAGCAGTGCTGGAGCTCCGATACAGGAATAGCCTTCAGCTCGTCGGTTATAGCCGTTTGAATGTGTTCTAGTGTCCCAAAACGAGTTCCTTCAGGTGATTTTTTATCTTCGGGAAGAAGAAGAAAAACGTCACAAGGAATCAAGTCAGGCGAATAAGGAGGCTGAGGAGCCACAGGAATGTTTTTACTAGCCAAAAACTCGTTTATTGACATCGCTGTGTGACAAGGAGCATTATAGTGATGCACCACTCAGTTGTCCTTGATCTGATCAACGGAGGTGTGAGTCAAATTTAATTCTTCCCCGATCATTCTGTCAACCGACGACCTGAATGCACGTGATCCCGGATTCTGTCGATATTTTCCTCGGCTTTGTTGTGCATCTTCAATCGAGACTCTCCCACTTTCCAGATCGAACGCCACGTTGCCAGTCTGATCACTTAATATACACACCTCGTATATTCCTTCCTCCCGTTCAATTATCATAAAGGAATTTGCTCTCAGAAGCATACCTTACCTGTAAAATTTCAAAACGTTCCGTTACCCTTGTTACTCCCTTTATAATATTCAATGAACGATTTGCGGAAAATAACACCTTGTGCGCAAATATATTTCTCGAGTGTGAACACAATAATACCAATAACAATATTTTTTTGATGCTACGTCAGTTTCATTCGATGAGAACGGTCCCTAAAAGAGCGACGTTTTCAGCGTTTGTATAATGGTTACTTATGACAGGTCAAATCCTGGATTCAGAGACAAATATGAATTATTTCAAACTGTGACTGCGTTTTTTTTTTTTTGTTAAATTGTGGACTGACGAATTTTCGCATCTCGGTTGTTCTCCAGGCTGCTCGGAGAGCATCTGGGCTGGATGATATTTTACATAAACTATGAAGTAATATTAATTAACAGATATTTATTTTGAATTCCAGATATAATTGGAGGTGCTTTGCTGGGATCTATCATTTCTGCTACGGTATCACACATATTCGACAGAATGGACAATGAGGAAGCCTTAGACATCAAAAGAAAAATGATTCCTGAACCTGTTGTGGTTGTAAAAGTAGAACAATAAGTATTATCGCTCCTTGTCCACAGTGAATTGTATCTGTGTAAGTCCCTCTATGCCTGAAAAAATAAAAATACATACTTCAAAAATAAATTTCAATGATGCTTGATTATATTATTTATTATTAATATGTTGTAATACATTTTTATACGAATACTAGAAAGGAAACAAGACGATTTGTGTTATTTGATAGTATTATTTTTTCACTTGATAGACATTTGGTAGCAAGATTTCGAGAACCTGACACTGGCAATGTTCAAAATATCTTTAGTATGCGTACCTGCCTCTACTATATCTCCTTTATCTACAGGCCCCATGCCAGGCGGCGAGCCTGTTAATATCAAATCATTTTCCTCCAAAGTAATAAACTTAGAGATGAAGCTTATCAGTGTGGGTATGTCAAATACCATATCACTAGTGCAGCCTTCCTGCCTTCTCTTACTGTTGACTGAACACCAAAGGACTATTTCATGTGGATTTGGGATATCAGAAGTGGGAATGAATTTTCCTACCGGTGTTGCAGTGTCGAATCCCTTTCCCAATGTCCAAGATCCACCAGTGCTACGAGCTTCTTTCTAAAAAATGTGTTTTCGTATACATGATATAACAGTTAAATATAAAGACAGCAGCTGGAGATCAGCAGAAGCTAGACGATTTGAGTTATTAAGGCCCGATTTTACTTTTGACCGAAGATAATCAAAATGTGCCCCTATGGTATCGTAGCAGAAGCGAAGTAATGGATCTAAAGAATTTCGTCGAATTCTTTTAAGATGTCTCTCAAACTAGCGGATAATTATTCGATATGTGTAAGACAAGAATGCTACATAAATCATATGGTTTAGATAGAAACCTATTTTTTTTATTTGTGTCAAGTGAAGGGAAATTCCGTCAATCAAAACGGATTTGTGGCCTACTCGAAACATGGATCAAACTTGATACTGTGACAAATAGTTCTGTTGGCGCCATCTGTGGGGCGAGTCTTCTACTCGCTAGAGCTTAATGGCCGATATCTTTTACGCGAACCACGACCGCACAAGCCGTTTGGCGGCGTCTGTGAGGACCGTGACAGTGATCGCCTTCTAGATCGACGCGAAGTGACCTTCAATATTCTAGATGTCCCTTTGTGGTTCACCCCGCCCTTCTCGAAGCAGCAATTGGGACTATACAGGGTGACTTTGAAGTTGAGTCATTAATTTTCAGATAATGATTCTAGAAGGAAGATAAACCAAAATATGTGTGTAAAAATAAAAAAAAAATAAAAAAAAAAATTTACCTTGTTTTATAAAGTATCCTCCCGACAAGTATTTCAGTGCGAACCTGTATTTGATCGTGAGGTCCCCTGTGAGGTCTTATGTATATATATATATATACAGGGTGACTTCGAAGTTGAGTCATTTATTTTAACAGTGAGTAGATCTGATCAAAAGAAATGTTTTTTCCTTTACCATTTTTCTAGTAAAATTAAAGTAACAAAGTTATAGCCCTTTGGAAGTTTGAGTATCGCCCTGTCTCAATAATAATATTATGTGCTCGTGTTTGGCGACAACGGATATAATCCGCCTTATCGGTTCATCGCATCGGAAACAAAAAAGCGAAAGAATTTGGAACGATGTTTTTACAATTATTTCATTCAGTTGTATACAGTCAGTGTCAGTCGGTAGTGGATAGTGGTGTCTGTTGCGTGGCTCAAACGAAATAAAAAATGGCACATGTTTATGCGGATCGGTTTCCCAATCGAGTGCAACCAACCCCTCATGCCTTTGTTAATGTAGTACAACGGGTTCGTGAATCATTTGACTTAAGACCTCACACATGGACGGCATTCCGGTGCTCCAAGACCTCACGATCAAATACAGGTCCGCACTGAAATACTTGTCGGGAGGATACTTTATAAAACAAGGTAAAAATTTTTTTTTTATTTTTTTTTATTTTTACACACATATTTTGGTTTATCTTCCTTCTACAATCATTATCTGAAAATTAATGACTTAACTTCAAAGTATATCGGCGGCCGGGACATGGAAGCGGAGAGTACAGTATCAGAGCAGAGCGGAGTGGAGTATAGTGGTGTATATAAATGTTCTATCAAGTTAAATAAATTAGTGCATCTATTTTTGTGGAATCCAGTGTTTTAAACCACACCCAAAAGAACCCAGAAAAACGCTGCAATACGTTTACTGAGCATATTCTCAATACTCGTCGGCTGCCACTCGACTACGTGGTTTCTGTATCAGAAACTGGAAGGGTTTCTCCAATGTTGATACATTAATGATATTATTTTTTACTTCTGTCAGAAGCAAGTTAGAGTATGCGACTCTGATCTGGTCTCCTATATACCAAAATTCTGTCGTGATCCTTGAGGCCATTCAACGTAAAGCTTTAAAGTATTTTCACCTTAAATGCACAGGTTTTTATCCAGAAAGAGGTTGTGACCATAGTGCCCTATTTGAGTTTTTCAATTTGGATTCACTGTCAACAAGACGGAACATATTTGCTTTGTCGTTTTTGTATGGCCTCATTCACAATAAAATTGACTGTCAAAATTTACTTGAAAAAATATGTTTCCGCGTTCCAAGGCTAGGGAGTCGACAACAAACGGCATTCTATTGTCAAGCTGGCCGTACAAATGTTATGACAAAATCGCCAATTAATCTCATGTGCTGCGTCATGAACAGTGTTACTGAATCGTGTGATATTTACAGTGACAGTTGTGCATCGATTATTAACTGCTATAGATCATCCAATCTTATTTAGAATGTGTGATACTATAGATTTAAGTCAAAGAACCATGTCTCTTTAATTGTTATTTTTTTTATCAGCGTTTCCTCTAATTGGGTTTCACCTGTTGGAAATAAATAGAAATAAAAAAAAATAAAAAAATTACTGAGCATGCTTTTGAAAATAACTAATAAAATAAACAATACAAAATTACACTTGATAAATTCTTTGAGGACATAAATAAAATTACAGAATGCTTATTCTTTAACAAACAACGAGTAACTAATCAATTTACTTACTTACAGTTAACATAAAGATGCTGCTGACATCCGTATCCGAATAAGATTTCTGTGATTTTATTTATGTCCTCAAATAATTTATCAAGCAGAATTTTGTACAGGAACTGTCAAACGCTGTTGTTTTCAATAAAATGCGAATTTAATTGCTGTTACATCAATGTAGATATTGTGTCAAATTTATTCTCATGCTTCGAGTATGGCGCAAATACTTATTTCATGTCTGAGTTTGAGAGACACCTTACTAGAAATCGACCATATTCGTTAGATCCATTACTTCAAAGACGCCTTCGTATTGATTGAATTTGTGTTCCATGCGCTTTTTTGAGCCCCGGCTTAGTAAAATCGGTCTTAAGTGCTACTTACCTAGTTACCTACCAGTCTACATGTGGCAGTCATATCTAGTGCTACGCAGTATCCTCCCACATAGCGCATTGCTTCTTCTCTTGATACATGTTTTGCTTTTTTACCAATTATAATACCCAACTCTACTTCTTCATTTACAGAGAACCCCTTTGGTATCTGAGGAAAAAAAATGTTAAAGAATAATCTAAATCAAATATCCCATATGTCCAGATATTTAGTATACCTAAGGTGAATGCGGTGTAATTATGTATTTTTATAACAGAATAGCCATAACCAGAAGTTACTTTTGGGCAAAATATTGCATGCATTTCTCAGCATCACAAGTCGCGCTGGATGATCGGTCATCACACCACGTCTGTGGGCAACCGGTTCGGATTTAGGAAAAAAATGTACCAACAAAAATACTCGTAATTAACGCAATTATAGATGTGCTTACTGTATGTGATTGTCAGGTCATTTGGGCTGTGCCAATAGTAAGTATAACTATTTTGACAAAAATTCATAAGTATCCCCAAGGTGCTACATCTTATTACAGTTTGATCGTAAAGTTCCAAACGCCATGTTTCGCCAATAATAATGTCTTAGTATGGAGTTTTTTGTTAGCCACTGTAAACGGCAATTTTGTTACCCCTGAGATTAATTTTGTGGTTGCTAACGCTAACTTTTTTTCTGAAGAAGAGTTTTTGGACACGACCATCATCATTAAAGAATGGTTACTTGTCAACACTGGACACTATCAACTGTCAGTTAGTTTTCGATTTTGCGGACTGCCCTTCCTTTGGCTATTGATTATCGTATTCTACCCACGGATGCATGTCCCAAATCAAATGAATTTTTGGTGCATATATATAAATATACCCCTCCCCCCCCAAACTCACAAGCCCAAATTTTTAACACCTACCCATTTTTTTTCGGAAATGATCAGTAGCCTCTGAAATGTCAAAAATGAAGGTGGGGCGAATTTTATTTTCTTCGCTTTTTTGCTACAATTTAGACCGCCTGGACCGATTTAAAAAATTCTAGCTTTCTCGTCCTCAACATAGTATTAGCCTTGTGTGAATCAAAATGGTACTTTTCAGGTTATAGATGTACCAAGGATTAGCGGACAGACAGACAGACTGACGGAAATGAGTGACATGGTTTATCGTGATGTATACAGGGTGACTTTGAAGTTGAGTCATTAATTTTCAAATAATGATTGTAGAAGGAAGATAAACCAAAATATGTGTGTAAAAATAAAAAAAAAATTAAAAAAAATTTTACCTTGTTTTATAAAGTATCCTCCCGACAAGTATTTCAGTGCGGACCTGTATTTGATCGTGAGGTCTTGGAGCACCGGCATGCCGTCCATATGTGAGGTCTTAAGTCAAATGATTCACGAACCCGTTGTATTACATTAACAAAGGCACGAGGGGTTGGTTGCACTCGATTGGGAAACCGATCCGCATAAACATGTGCCATTTTTTATTTCGTTTGAGCCACGCAACAGACACCACTATCCACTACCGACTGATACTGACTGTATACAACTGAATGAAATAATTGTAAAAACATCGTTCCAAATTCTTTTGCTTTTTTGTTTCCGATGCGATGAACCGATAAGGCGAATTATATCCGTTGTCGCCAAACACGAGCACATAATATTATTATTGAGACAGGGCGTTACTCAAACTATAACTTTGTTACTTTAATTTTACCAGAAAAATGGTAAAGGAAAAAAACATTTCTTTTGATCAGATCTACTCAGTTAAAATAAATGACTCAACTTCGAAGTCATATATATATATATATATATACATAAGACCTCACAGGGGACCTCACGATCAAATACAGGTTCGCACTGAAATACTTGTCGGGAGGATTCTTGTACCTGTATATGTCGTATAACATCCCAGAACATAAATCATTTTCGAAATTTATTATTTTAGATTTAAATAGGTATAATCTATGGTATACACAACTTGGATACCTTATAATATACACATATAGCTTTAAGTATTGTTTGAAGGACCACTTACAAAAGCATTATAAAAGATATATATTATACCATGTTGTCATACCTCAACCTTGGTCGGTCTGGCGGATACGGAAGGTACATTTCATATTAAGAGTTTGGAGAGTTTTTATTAGAACACTGAAGAATTGATTGTAATGCCATTTGCTTCCGAAATATATGAAATTTTAGTGTTAAGCTTATTGAGCAACTATTATACCTAGTATATTATGGTCTTTAAAAATGCCTTGTAAAATTAGGAAAATGTACTTTACTGGGTTACTCAAATATTTAACGAAAAAGTCGACGTTCCTCCAAATGCTAAAAATACATTTATTTAGGATACTCTTATATTTGTACCTTGAGTATACGGCATTTTAGGAATGATGAAAATATATGTATTTGTATAGTGCTTCTGTAGGAAATCAATTATAATTTATTCTTTACGTCGGATTCATAGTGACAGTAAGTTAAAAAACACCGAGTTCAATTAAATGATCCGAGTTCAATTAAATGATCCGAGTTCAATTAAGTGATCCAAAACGTGTTATCTATGCGGCGAAATGTTAGCTGCAGCATCTTAAGCAGGTGACGCTTTGGCTGACGCCAGGACGCTCACAGAGAGCAAAAGAGCAATTAACTATTTGTACTCTAGAAGCTATCTAGTGGACGAGCTGACCTTTCAAAGTTATTTTGACAGTTCATATTCGTAACCCTGCCGCACCTGTATTACTTAAAAAGTGACATCGGTTTTTCATGACATTATGTACCGGGTGCGCCATCTCTTTTATGTCGGTATTGAAACATCGAATGACTTTGATATTTACCAACCGAGTGATTTGGTTATACGTGTTTCTGGAACGACAATTGGACAATTTACTACAATTTTAGTCATGAATCGCTTTACACCCAAACAACGCGCCGAAATAGTCACAATGTAAATTGAAAATCGTGTCGTTCAGTTGTGTTAACGCAACGTGCATATCGTCGAAAATATCGTGGCAAACAGGGACCGTCTGACAACACTATCCGTCCGATCGTCAAAATACCGTTCATCAACGATCAAGACGTTCCAATGAATTGGTTGAAGCGGTCAGAGACAGCGTTGCTCTGAACCCAAAATTGGCGTATCGTCACCGCGCTCAGAATTTTGGCATCAGTGGAACCACGTTGCGGCGCATTTTGAAGGATGATTTGCATTTGTTTCCTTATAAGGTGCAGTTAACACAAAAAATATTGCCAACTGACCGTCCACGTCGCTTGGAATACTCCCCCCCAACAGTCGCTCGCATGGTGGATGCTGAACCTGATTTTTGGAAGCAAATTGTGATGACCGACGGCCTCCATTTCACGCTCTCTGGCGGCGTTAATAAGCAAAACTGCCGCATTTGGGGGACGGAAAATCCACATGAGATCCACGAAATGCCGTTGCATGACCGGAAAGTGACTGTTTGGGCCGGCGTTTGCGCAAAAACCATCATTGCGTCATTTTTTTTTCAACGAATAGATAACATATAGATAACAGTTTTTCGTTTTCATTTTTACATACCAACATAAAAGATGGCGCAACCAGTACATAATTGACAATATGTAGGTTTTCATACATTTTCATATAAACTGGCACCTTTGAACTAGCTGACATCAGAGCTGACATTCACTTCATGCTCACTACTTTTTGTAGGCGCGTACTGAGACTACTGAGCTAACGGCACACTATAGTGGCTATCTAGTGTACAAGTTGACATATTTTACCGATCTCATTAATATTGTACAAAGAAATCATATACCACTGACGTCGTAATGTGTACGAGAGGGAAGCGTGAGTTAGCGTGGTATACGTATATTAGAAAGAGATAGAAGCACCCGACGTTGCCTAGTAACTCGAGTGACGATGCCACGAACGCAGCTGCGGTTTGCTACGCCATCGGTGCCTACATATTGTACCCTTCTCGCAGTTCTCTCTCGTTCAGAATGAAAAGCCGTCAGACAAATTTGGTGCTCCCAAATCACTGTAAATGACAACATTGGTATAGACATTGGTTCGATCCTGCGCGGGGATGAATGCCAGCGCTGACTAGTTTAAGTTGCGTAATATTGCGCTAAAAACGTGATTGCTGCTTACCATAATTTGTTTCCCTTCAGTAATATAAGATGTGGATGGTTTTATAAATATTCCAGGCTCTTTTGGAACATCTTTTTTCAAGACTTTCAATAGTGCTCTAAAAATAGCAATTTCATATTGCTACAAAAACTCAACAAAACCCTAAATTTTAAACATACCTATAATTTGCTGCAACTCCGATAATTTTCTTCCCAGTCTGAGCGAATAACTGTAAATTTGACATTTTCACCACTGGACATCACATATAAAAAATATTAGGCTTCCAGTCTGCTTATTTTGTGATAAAAAATGGTAACAGCCCATTACGTAAAATCTGTCGTCACAGACTTTCGTAGTTCCCGCGATACTCACTGCGCGCCGCAGATGACTGCGCTAGCAACAGTGCCTTGTGCCAATACCGTAAAACTTAATTCCCCAAGGAATGAAGGAATCCTACATTTTACTTTAGTTTTATGCATCATAATTGTTTCATTTCCTCAAATGGGACTATGCTATATGTTTAAACATATACAGTGCGTTGACGTAAATATAAAAAGCGCATATATATTAGCTGATAAACGAGAAACTTGCATGTAGTGTTTTAGCATTGTGTGGGTGGCGCCACTGTGTCACCAGTCTTTGGCAGATCGAGTGACGAACGATGACGTTTCTTGCATTGCATGCCACAATTGCCACACTTGTAAAAAAGGAAGTGTGGAGCAAAGTTGCCTTTTAGTATATTTTCGTGTATATTCTTTTAAAAACGCACATTTTCCGCGTAAAAACACTTTCGAAATGTCGTGGAAGTGCAATTGACGGAACGGTTAACAAAGACTACGAGCGAGAAAATTGTGTATGTGTAATCTAATCAATATCTAAACCTGTTATTTTAGTACAATGATAAAGATGGAAACAGATAAAATTGAGGATCCTAGCACCAACAATACACAAGTAAGTTTTTACGATATTTCCTTAGCAGTTCGTATATACATATTTGCTTAGAAAAAGGCTTGCTGATTTTTGTAAATTTTTCAAAATTAGTCATATTAAAACTCGAGTAGACTTGCTGTTGCATCTGGCGTGTCATATGTCAGGCACTACGCCTATTTTACCTGCCATGAAGTCCTAAATCCATATTTCTAATAAAAATTTGTAAAGTCGTTCAGTTCTTTGGAGCTGAATCATAGGCGAACAATAGTTTTGGAAAGTTCATATTCTTTTGTTTACGAGAACACGCCACCTAAGTGTATTGGCTTGATTCTTTCACCTTCATTGCTTCTCTAATTTTTTACAACAAAGGTGAAACTCGATTTTGAATAGGTAGGATAACGTATAAGTAAAAAACTGAACAAAAACCAAGGTTTGTAGGCCTAATAAACAGCTTTTCTTATCAGTCATTAGTAGAACATTGATAATTTTTATAAGTGCATTGTATAATTACAACACTTCATCTATATGAAGTCAAATGTATTATCTATGATCATATTGCATCCTTTCTTTGGCTGCAAAACTGGGTGTTGACCTTTTTAGTGGTGACAAGTGACAATTCAACACTATCTGGATGTCTGGTTTGACAATCATTTTACAGTAAATTATGGGCAGAACCTGTAGTCATTTCTATTATTCCTTTGAGTTTCTTTTGTAGTACATTTCTAATTTATTCTCTATGCATTGTTTGCTTTCATAACTGCTGGTTTATGATGCCTTGAGCTTGAGAATCTATTGTTTGTATGCATTATTTGTTGTGATAGTATACAGTAATAATTTTTGGTATTAATTCCCAAACTGTACCTGTTTATTATAAAGCATAATTGAAGATACTAAATTTGGGCCTCATCATAGAAAGTTTGTGTTATGAATTGTTAACCTAAAGTGCCAAACTAGGGCCTTGCTTTGTTCTGCCTTAGGGATCTTGTATCAAGTGGCTGAAATGAACTAAGTTTATGTTTTGAGAATGATTGTGCTAGAAATGACTGAAAGGTTTATGATACAGGTATTATATATTGACTTTTTCACATATGCTTTCACAGATTTTAGTAAGAACAAATGGTTTTGATATGATTGACTTATATTCAAGTTTTCTCGCACATTCTATACACAGGACTGTTATTTTTTGAAAAATGTCTCGAAATGAGATGGCAGGTGCGACTCTACTATTTTCTTTAACTAAACTAGTACTCATGATGCTTCTAGAGATTGGAGCCCCTTTCTACCAAGTGCCCCTAAAGGGGCTGATGGATGCTCAGGGATGCATTTGGCTGGAATATTGATAGACAAATTTTATTGTATTTGATCATTAACTGTGGGAACTAAGTGTCTGATAGAGTTACTCAATGATTTGAGAAACTTTTTTACTACAGAATACTCTACCACAATGTAAATTAGAAAAGTATTTGGTGAGAATTTAAATAAAATGCAAATTCTCATCATTGTTAAAAATTTTGGCCTTTCTCATACTCTAAAATGGGGTTATCTGGGAATAGGAGATATAACAAAAGCTGAACTTCTGAACCACATGGGAAGATATAAAAATGTGTAATTGATAACTGAGGATGGTTGTAGGCATGATTTTATCTGCAAACTCATTGTCATTGTGCAACAAAACTCATTGTCATTGTGCAACAAATCTCCAGTGTCAGTGTCAGGTTGGCCACCGCACCTTGCCACTGCTTTACTCAACCTGTGACAAGAAGTGATACATATGCTTTATTCTAGCTATTAACCATGACCTTATTTGCTTGAAACTGTTACCAGCATAAATCATTGTTTTTAAGTAATGCTATAAACCTATAAACTTCTGATCACATTGTGTATCTTTAATGGCATTACTAAATTGACAGCCAACGTGCATGCTTGGGAATTTTGGTGACATTATTAGTGGTACCACCTGTACGTTCTGCAGGTAAAACTGTGGGTCAGAAAGCTACTTCTTTATATTCTTATTAATGTAACACCCAAATTTTATTGTGGTTTTCAAGCTGATAGGACTCCATGAAATACTACACTTTACTTTTGACTTGGATTTTTGTGAGCTTATTTCATTTTTAGATGCAATGATCCTCATATTGTTTTACTCATACTTTTCTTTTTTTTTTTTATCAGACAGGCAATTTTCTGTTTTGATGTGTCCGATCTGTTTATGATAAATACAAGGATAAGTGGGTAGGCTATTTCAATGAAAAAGAAAAACAAACTGCTGCCAAAAAATATTTTTCATGAATTTAATCAAGAATATTCTACTACCATATTTTTAGCACATTTTGGTTACCATTGGATTAGTTGATTACTAAATTGCTATTTTTGATGACTTAATGACCATAGCGGAAGAAATTATTATCCACTATTCCACGTGTTTAAGCTCTCTGGTGCCTGGATTAAAAACTTTGTAGGAGAACGCTCTAAAAGCTGAACTTTATGGGGGTGTAAGATAGTGGCGGATGCAGGAGCATCATGATACTTACACCCAAAATTTCTAAACTCTGGGCCCCTTGAACCGCGTTATGGGATCATCCGCCTCCCTGGATCTGACGCGTTGTATGCGGCAAGTATATTCACACGCGTGTGTTAGCCAGGCAGAAATATAAAATATGTTCTTTATTCTTCTATCTGGACCATTAGAAGTTTGAGTTGGATGTTCAATGCATTGAACTCATAAGTTCAAATTGTGTAATTCATATAACCACAAATTTCACCAGATGTATACAGTATCCTGTCAATAATATTGAACAACTCAACTGCTTTAATAATGCTGGGGATGGGAGGTAGGCTCTCGTCGCTCGGAGACAGAACCTAGCCAGTATTGCTTCTCAATGATAGTTATTTAACTTTAGTGGATAATACACAATTGTAATATTTGAGAATATGAGGTATAGTTCCCATTAGGACCTCAATCCCCACATGATCAAGACCTTTGTAAGAAAGTCGAAAATGGGGTTTCAATGCATTTTTATGCTTTTTCGCAATAACTCCGCCGTAATTGTGAAGAATTTAAAAAATATAGTCGAAATTATTACACCCTGCCTTACAATAAGTGGCTTAAATAAAAACTTCGCAAAAACCCGAATAGCCCTTCTTGTTTTATAGTGACGCAAATGATTTTTGGTTGTTTGATGAGAACTCCACCATCTTGAATGATCCTTTGAGACAAAGTTTTTTAGGGCTTGTTATAGTAACAACTTATATGAAAATCTCATCAAAATTAAAACATATGTGGTGCCTAGGATTGGCAATCAGATGGTGCCAGCCCCAGACACTCGAAAATGTGCTAGTCATAAAACGACTGGTCAGTCGATTTCGGGTCACTCTGTATCAGTCCCTGTACATATCCTTGTTTATGGCCTGCACACGTAAACTGCAGAAGTTGAATTACTGTAAATGGGCACAGGTTTTGAGACTCGATAGTTTACGAAGACGGCTACGGCTGTGTGACGCTACTGCTTGCGGTGACCGCAAAACAATCGGCTTAATGGGTGCTATGTTACGGTTTACTTTTTTCTTTGCATTTCAGCTTTACGCCGTGTTTCAGATATCGAACGGATCTCTGATCGATTCAGCGATAAATGCTAGTATCTGGGACAGCCCTGTAATTGTAATGCTATACAAACTATATGCCTAGATCTTAGACAGTCTGTCACTGTGGAATATGTCTGTATTCAAATGATCCTTTCGTATGCTTATATTTTAAGAAGGTTGTATGTATTGATTCTCAAGAATTTGTATTTTGAAATCGTTTTTTTATGCACTTTGCAGGTTTGATCAACACGTGGGCAATCTCTCTTGATTCATGTGAAATGCAACAAATAATAATACAACTTTATACGACCCTGTTGGTTCAGGAAGCATATTCCCATTTGCTGCGATTTTTTTTTTAAATGGAACGCTTTCAACGATTTAGCAAATTACCAGACTCAAAATTGTGTCAAATTGTTTGAATAATTTTTTTAAATCTATTCCAATTGGTATTTTCAATCTAAACCAAGCTTTTTTAGGTTTTTGAGTAATTCTGAACAAAAAACGTTCTTACGAACTCTTCTCTAAAGCTGGTAGTTTTCGAAATATAACCGATTTATTTTATGAAAATAGAGCGCTGGCACGGAACAGTAGAAAACTATGAAAATCAAGGCGGCCATAAAGGCGTCCCACAATTGTAGGAACGACTGAAGATACGGCCTTTGGAGGCGAGCTTATAAAAACATTTTTTTATGATCTAACATATTATGCTTGAAGCTGATGTTATTTTTTCCTTAATTTTGGTGTGCTGTTCTATTAAAAGCTCGATTTTATCAAACCTTATACCAAAAAAAAGCTTATAAAAAATTGATCCAAACTTGTACAAATATGGTGATGCATTTGAAATCCTTGAGAAAAAGTACAATTCGCGTTTTTGACCACCCTGTATGAGCAAATATGAAAATTCGGAAAAGTAACATGATACAAAATTCAGCACTCCAAATTTCAAAATGGCGGACTGAGGGGTTGCCGAAGTGGGGGGTTTTTCTAGACAAAACACATATCTCAGAAGCTAATTGCCAAAACCTCATAGTATGTTATACCAATCTTCTTCTTTTGAATTGGTTTATCCAAATATGCAATAAAATTTGAGGCATTCTATTTAAAAAATCACAACTTTCATATGTAGGTCAAAATTTGGACACCCTGTATAATTTATTAATATTAATATATATATATATATATATATATATATATATATATATATATATTAGAAATGTACCCTCAAATTCATGTATAACATGCCATAAATAGATTTTCCCAAAATATTACTTTTTTATTCTCTCTAGCTTTCAGATATTACGTATATATATGTTACCGGAAATCTGTATAATCCGGTATTCTATACAATACCTAGGTAATATATAAAATAGCTAAACCGTGTAGGTAATGTATAAAATATTATTTGTTTTATACTTTGCCTAGGTATTCTATACAATACC